GGTGTAGATTTTCGAAGCCTACTCAAAGAAAGATTCAATTTGATAGTTTATCGTTCAAATTAAGTATAACCTTGAATTGACGAAATTTAATTTCGTTTGATCTTTGTTCGGAGAAAGAGAGTAGACCCCCTGAACTGTACTGCGAACAACTGATGAGATTAAAGCAAGAAGTTGTGAGAAAGCGGCCCGAATTAATCAACAGAAGGGGTGTGGTTTTTCATCATGATAACGCTAGACTTCACACATTTTTAGCCACACAGCAAAAAAGAAGATAGTTTGACTAGGAGGTGTTAATGCATCCGCAGTCCTGACCTTGCACCACATTTCCACCTGTTACGGTCTCTTGAGAATTCTTTAGGCAGTGTCAGGTTAACATCACGAGAGGACTGCCAAATCCACTTGTCGCGGTTTTTAAATCAGAAGCCCCAAAATTTCTATAGCAATAGGATCATGTCCCTACCTACAAGATAGCAAAATGTTATCGAACAAAATGGCACCTACATTTAACTAAAGTTAGTTAAATGTAATTAAACTTAATAAAAAAATGATTTAAATTTTCATATCAAATACGAAGAAACTTTCCCCCCAACCTAATTTATTACGCACAATTATGTAAGTTCACTATTAAAAACATCGTTTTTACTTTTTTATTGAAGGTTAAAAGTTATATTTAAATACTTCAAGTTCTTATCAGGCATTCGAATCCTGGTACGAAATTAGTGTCAGGCATGTTAAACTTATAAATAAACTGGATCTCTACCTAGTTGGCCGGCTCAGCCGTGTGAATCATTGTAATTATAAAAGGTTTAATTAAATAAAATATGATGTACTCTACCGCATTAGATAATGCAATTACGGGCAGCTCACGCCAAGCAAGCTTGAACTATGGATACTAGACTAAATAACGGATGTAACACATAAATCGCAAACTTTTAAACAAATATTAGTCTTCTTCACACAAATAAATGCCGGGATTAACCGGGATTTGTACGCAGGGCCTTTGGGGATCGAAGTCAGGTTATAGAGCTTGTCCATGTATTCGATATATGTCGCAGTGTCTCATATTTGAAAAAGACAAGCATAAATTTCGCATGGATAAATTAAATAGATGGGAAAATCTAATGCAAGTAATTTTCTGAACTTTACAAACCATACCCCACCCCTCAAAATTAGGCATTTTTTTAAATAATTACTTATTTTTTTTATTTTTGTTAAGCGTTTAACTGCTACATTTTTTAAATCTAACGAAAATCATATTAGAAAAACTTCCACGCGGACTTGTCAGCAGCCCGAACTCGAACCCTTCGCTATCCGTACGAATGCACTGACCATTATGCTACCGCAACCCTGATGGCCGTGTCGAATTTTCTCTAGTGTTTCTTAAGCTGCAAGGCAGCGCCATCTCTTCGTATTTTAGATTACCCACAATGTCAAATGAATACCTTTACAAGTATTAAACATTTGAAAGAAGAAATAGCATTAGCTACAAAACCAAGCTACGAAGCTTTTTACAGGAACAAGCAGTCTAGTTTAAAAACGTTAGTCGTCATTATTATGTATTTATTGAGTATGTATGTTTAGATATGCATGTAAGTATATGTATAAATGTATATGTATAATTATTTATTACATATAAATACTTATTTGTGTATGTGTAATTATATATATGACTACTTCATATTTATATCTGTTCGTCTATCTGCAATTTCCATTTAAATTTCGCACCCTACCACTATTTATCCACAACACCCCATGGTTAACTGGTAGAGAATACCTATGGCATTAAGTCCGACTTTGTACGCTTGTACATTAAGTATTAATACTTATATAAATAGCAATTATAGTATTTTTTATGTTTTAAGTTCTTATTGTATTTGTTTTAAAATACATTTATAGGACTAGTAGGACAGAAATTAGAAGAGAAAGGTGACAGGGTAAAGTTGCATTCGATACTTTAGACAAAGAAGAGATTTTAATTAAGCGTAGAGAACAGAGTAAACAGAATAGGGCTAAACATTCTGGAGCACAATTTATCATTGCCGGCTGACTCGGAGAAAATGCCCAAAATTGATTTTTAATAAATAAATCACAAATAATAAGTAGCTCCACAAAGTAATAAAAATCATAATTCTGACGACGCAGCGTGAAAGGGATGCGAAACGTCATAAATAAATGAATCAGTGCATCTATACTGTTGAAACTTGTTTTATTTAATGATTGGTATGCGTGAAAACCTAAGAAACAAATATTGATTTTTAATGTCGGTTAACGGGAACGATGTGACCTGAAGAAGTGAACATATGTGTCAAGGCAGTAAAGAAAGTGCTTCAACACTACTGCATGAAATCTGTTCAGTAGTTTTAGAGACCAATACAACCATACAGCAGACCGATTGATGTGGCAAAGGATTTTGTTGTATGAAGGAGTATGATGTCTTCTTAATATTATGATCAAAATTCTTTTATTATAAATACTGCAATTGCAACAAGAAGCAGAAATGCTTCCATTGCGAAGAATACTGTGAGTACGTCAGTGATTTATTTTCTCTAATCTACCAGGTTACGTGTGAAAAAATAAATAATATTGCAAAAATATGTTAAAACAAACAACTTAATTATTATAATCGGGTAGAATAAAAATACTTACCTGCCTAGCCTCTGAACTAGTATTTGTGACCTAATGATTAATCGTAGTCCTTTACTTTATTTTTTAAATTAGAGCTTAAATATTTATGTGTATTTTGTTCTACTAGCTGGTTTTTGGTTATCTTAACTACGATAAGGACATTGGGCAAAAATGTATGGACGCTGCACCCACGTCCGCCACGGCTTAAACTACATTTGTTTGAGAGGTATTATAGTCAAGATCATCTGTGCCAAAGCGCATCAAATTCCATCCCGGGGGTCTTTAGTTATTTTAAGTTAAATATGTACAAGTACTATAAAACGAACATTAATGAAACAAGGGAATTAATTTAGTTAGTTAGTTAGACCCTACATAGTGTGCTCAGGAATTATGGGAGAACTTCACAAGGTGCAAGGGTGCCCCCTTATGTTATTCTGCCGCGCTAGAGTAAATCCAAAAATCCCCTCATGGGTTGGGTTTTTTTTAAACATTATGTTCGTTATAGTAAATTGTCTTCTATGTAAAACGGAGCGACCACAGATTACACAAACTTGTCCACGCTTCGGAGAACACATGATTCCAGTTCATCCATACTAATCGTGTTCCAATATCCAAAGCGTGTTAGATAAAAATCAATCAAATAGCAGGGAGCGCACAATCACAACGAAGTAAGACGAGTCGACTATTTGCAACTGCAAGTCCTTCAGCATCCGTAAACCGTTTTGAAATGTCTCAGTAAGAGCAAGCGCAGGATAGTCCGCAGGCTTTGCCGTATATTTGGTTGTATAGTATGATATGGCATATTATTATGATATGATATACTAAATAATATATATAAAATGAAGGTATTATAAAATGAATTTATTCAGCTACTTAAATATGTGTCATATCTATTGACTACCAGGATATTTTTTACGGTGTCATATCTTTTGACTCCCAGGATATTTATTTTCGGTGTCATAATAAAAAAGGCTAGTTTTTCATAGATCTATCGATTCATACTAATTACATTGTTGGCGGAGCTGGGTGCGTTTTGCCCATTGTCCTTTATATAAATTGTAGACGAAAAACTACCCTAGACAGCCCAGTGGAACACACCACCTACTTAATATTTTAAATGTACAAATTCATTTTAATTAATATTTGTATCTTTAATACAAACGTCAAATAAATAAACTGAAAATTATGAAAAAGAATTATATCACTTTATTAATTAAATTAGCTAATAAATTCAAGCATAGACAATAAAGATTTAAAAAGCTTGCAAAGAAATATACGGACGCTCAACAAAAGACTTTTGAATGTAATTCGACAAAAAAAAAAGCCTGCGAAACGTCAGTTAAATAAATTTTAGTGCATATTACCCGTAAAAATCGTTTTATTTAATAAGTGATGCGCGTGAAAACCTAAGAAACAAATTTGTATCTTTGCTGTTTATTAATAGTATATTAGAAAGAAATAGAAAAATACCAGAACACAATTCTAAAGGGATCCTGACTCATTTTTATCTTAATCGAACTCTATTAGACCCAATTGGTTCCCAAGAGACTATTTGAATTATTTAAATTCCAAGCCCAAATGCCATAATAGGCAAAGTAAATACAAGTACTATAAAATGTTTTATTGTCTAAAATATTACATTAAATAATAAGGACTATATCAATAAACAATTGTAAATGTTTACAATTCTGACCACGTGGTTGAGTTATAACAACAACTTCAAAAAATTATATTAAAATTAAGAATCATAGGTATCATTTCATTATCATTATAAGAGAGATCCCATAGTGATTTTAATTGTGAATTCAGACGAAGTCGCCTGCCAAAACAATTTGATATTTCAGGGGTTTCAGGGCTAGGTTACATTGACGAACCTCGAGTATAACGACCGGGTACGTATAGTGATCGAGTATGTTTTGTTCATGATAATGAGGTCGAGTCACCGCACGATGTCGATCGGCCGGCAAACGATACTATCCCAGAATACATTGGATATATAGATCCACGGCGACGATCAACTAGACATTTGTTCTATATAATCTCAAGATAATCCATTTAATTGCCTCACGATGTTGATATTTTGAGAGCTCAAACTCTTTCCGCGTCGAAATCGGATGATTCTCGAATGTTATAATTCTTTATACAATATTATAGCACGACTATTAACGCAAAAGCAAAAGTCGTCTGGAAAACATAAAGCACACATATTGAGTCCGCGTCATGCATTGTTTACACCGGTGCGCGTCATAGCTTCTTCGACCGAGTTTGTTGGGATCATCATCAATCATCACCTAATTGATCACTTTCACTCTAAAGGGATGTGTTGTTAGTAGAAGTGTGGGGTGGGTAGTGGATGATGGATGCCGATCGAGTACCCTAGTGACGATGAGCGGGGTAGCGAGGTCCGCACCGCCAACTAAACGTAGGCCCCAGTTGGTGTCGCGGCTATCGCGACGGAGAGTGACCACGAAGGTATGCAGCCGCCCCATGGCGTGTGTATGCACTGCGCGGGCGCGCGCTCACTGCGCGGACTGTACAGAACGGCAACACGCGACGTTGTGCGCGCAAATTTAGCTCCACTACTCGACCTACCCCTCCCGACTCTCCTCATGCTTTGCACTTGCATTACGCCTAACCCTGTCACAGCAGTCGACCTAGTTCGATTTACTGAATTTGAGGGTAATGCGTTTTCAAATATGAATTACGCAGTAGTGACGTTTGTTTACCATATAAACATATTTGAGTCACACACAGTTTGAGTCATCCACGGCCCGTGGCGTTTTCCTATACTCACTATAGAAATTGTGCGTTCATGGACGCAAGAGCAGAAATCCATATCATCGAATTTTTATAAATTCTAAACTTGGCTTTCCTTGCAACAGTCAAGGAAAGCCAAGTTTAGAATTTACAAAAAATTCGATGATATGGATTTCAAGATCAAGATAAGATCCAACGTGACGTGTGCAGTCATACCAATATTTATTCGATCCTTATTTTACAATTTTTTAGGATCTTTAACTAAAGCCTTTCTTTAAGCTTTTTTTAGAGACAACTGCAAAGATATCGTTTAAGCTGATGAAATTCTATGAAAGTGTCTATTTTAAGGAAAAAAAAGTTAAGTTACTCACCCTTCTCCTCTGTCCGAAGTCTCTACTGTCGTCGGGCTCTGGACGCTGGTGGGGCACTCGCCAGAAAGGTGGCCTTTGGTACATGGGCATATTGAATCCTTACAGCAAATGAACACAACTGAAAAGCAAACCCAATTTAGTAAATGAAAGTAGGTAATTTGATTTATTTGAATGAATCAGACTGAAATAATATACCCTTTTAAATTTCTTTGAGTGCTATGTTAAGTTCTAAATTGAATAAATGATTTTGATTATGAAGTTTACCTAAAATTTGTCGTTACCTCTGGTCGAAGCAGTAGGTTTTACAACAATAGAAAACTTAATATTTGTAAGACTTATATATTTTTAGTAGGACATGGATATCTTATTGAGGAAATGAAATAAGTTGTGTATGAAACCTTGGTATATTTTATAGAACTTGCTAATCAAGTTCTATGAAATTAGAACTTATAAGAGTTGGAACAATGTAAGTTTAGCTTATCCGGGAAAGATCTTTCGCTTTACAAAATTGCAGTTAAATTATATTATTTTTATCACTGGTAACATTATTTTGAAGATATCAGGAGATACAGTTTGAAACAAGCAACTCGTCGTCCCGCAAGCATTTAAGACTATGGTTATGGTACCTAGCGGCTAACTGCCAGGTGGAACTTACACTGAACTAAAAAAAAACTAACAAAAAGTAGGTTCTTTGAAACAGCTCTACATATTCAAGCCTAGTCACTCATCCAAGGACAGGAAAAAATGGATATGAGACACGCTGAAGAAATAGGGTCAAACGTGAGTTTCAGCTTTCAGCAAATTAAAATAAGAAAAAAGTATATGAACTTATTTGAAATAGCAAAAAGTGGAGTACTTTCCACAAAAAAATCCCTTTAACGTGTGGCTACTTTTTTTTAAAGTCGGACAGCACTTATAACAACTTTACGTTTTTAAATTGAACCTACAAAGTTATACTGTAGTCAAAACAAGGATAACCTTTGAAAAATGCCCTACGAGAACCAGGCGACTCGAAGCCTGAAAAGTATCCGAAACGCCAAGAAGCTAGGTTTTATCGTCTTCGGTCAAGAATAATAAAAAGTTAATACCTCACGCTTCTAACCGTTCATAAAGTATTTAAATCAATAACTGTATTCATATTTTGGCACGCATTCCAGACTCTTAGAATCAGTAATTAGAATTAACCTTGTCACCTTATAGAAATATACTTATCAGTATTGACTTAGGAAAATGGATAGAACACAACCAAATTGATTCGTTACATTAACCACCTGCCAGCTGGAAATTTTGTCATAAACTTTATTGACGGCAAACAAAACAGTAGCGGACGGACGTAGGTGGTTGGCAACGAGATTCAAGCGGATAAATTATTTTCGATGGAGAAGGGGCATGGGTTTCCCGTAGTGGGGGCTAAGGTGGCTCAAGGTGGTGGGGACAAGGTGTTTTTTCTAAAAGTTTTCACCGGTACTCACCAGAGGGCCGAGTAGAGTACTAGCGACGTCGCACGACTAGTCGCGTTTAATATCCGAATTATTCCGGGGCACATCAAACTATGATGTCTATTTTTCGCTGGGCAAGCGGCGAGCGCGCGTCTGTTACCCGGTGCTTCGCGTGATTTACAAGGCGTAGCCGCCGCGCTGTTTCTGGGGCAATCCGAAATTCGCAACAATCCAACGCTCCGCTCCGAGCGGGTTCAACGACCGCGGGATTTTCTTGTGCAAATACGGTTCATTTTGGTGGTACGAAAACATATAAATACCAACAACATCGAGAAAATTTTATGAAACACAAATGATTCGGTAGAGCGAGCAATAAAGCAAAGATGTTTGAAATAATTTAAAAGTTTATTGTTATGGTATCACAAAAATAATAAAAAGGAGCATTGACATAGATAGTTATCGGGAATTTTCTTAAGCAAATACGGTCCATTTTGGTGGTACGAAAACATATAAATACCAACAACATCGAGAAGATTTTATGAAACACAAATGTTAAGGTAGAGCAATAAAGCAAAGATGTTTTAAATAATTCAAAAGTTTATTGTTATTGTATCGCAAAAGTAATAAAAAAAAATGGAGCATTGACATATATACTTATCGGCATCCCAAAAATTCTAAGAAATAAAAACCTTAAAATTACAATTAGAATAGGAGTGGTATAAAAAACGATAAACATTTTCCTATTATAGAAATAAAAATTCTAACTTGGTTAGCTGTACAAGTGTAATTCTGTACATTAAAGTATGCGACTTTGAAATTCATTATGAGACACTGTGTAGAACATTTTATATATTTTTAATCATTTAAACTGAGGTTACTTTAATACTAAACGACGTAAAGGACTCACGGGAGACACAAATAATTTCATAAAAATATAATGACAAACGTTAAATTAGGAAATGAGAATTTTTACCTTTTTGAAGTTGGATGCTACATACATATTCCCTCATTTTAAACCGCATCCATAAATGATCAGCATTACACAAAGATCTCACAAAACTTAAATAATATAGCATAAAATGCTACGCATATCGACAATACAATAATATCATTTCTCTTAAAAACGACTTAAAATGTACATAATAGCAATAACAAATATTAACGATTTTTTAAATATATATAAACTTTAACTAATTGTTGGGTACATAATGTAATTTTACAGAGTATTTACATTTATAAATAATGCTGCTAGATATATACTATACGATAAAAAAAATCAGCTATATAAGGCTTATTCTATCGAGTGGTATTAAACTGAAATGTATTAATGAGTAGAATGTCTGAGATAATAATTCTAATGTGAAATTATTGCAATATTTCAGTTAAAAATATTCAGAATTATGTTGTCGATTTTTGCTAAAACTAACAGAAACATTGTTATAATTTCTTAATATATAATTTGAGCTTTGAGAGCGCGTCATTAATTAATTAATTAAAAAAAAAACAGTTTTTATATCTATAAGTCTCAGGTTAACCCAGTATAAAATTTACTTTGACAAAATATTGTGTTGCTTATTTATTTCTATGAGATATACAACTTATAGAGAGCTTAGCTTGAAAAAAAGTATTCCATTGCGCCGTTTTGTTGTGACGTACGGATCGCGAAACTTTTTGAGACCAAACGAATTTTATTCTTTGTTACAATGCAAATACGAATTCCATTTTATTATTATTTAAAAATGGTTGCCTGTAAAGTCGGTTTTACGGGCGAAGATTTTACGTGACAACGTCTTTTTCTCGGTAGAATATTTATTGATATGAATATAATTAAATTGCACAATAGGAACAAGGAATTGAATGAAAATAAGAATTGCACAAATTTTAACTATAGAAATATATTTTGTTTACTAAAACATTGTACATGTAAACTTAAACTTAACACGAGAGACTCATCGTAACGTTACCGAGCGTTACACTTTTTCCTAAGTGACTCCCAGCCGCAACCTAATTTAAGACGTTGTCACGTCAAAAACAAATGCTTCTGACACCGAAGCGCCCGGAACATTTTTATCATTTTTGTTGTGATTATATTATAATCACCAAATTTTCTACAATTTTTATATATAATATCTGTAAACTTATAAAAGCGATTGTAGAATGATGAATTTTCCAATTATATGAATTAATACTCTTGGCTCAGTTTTACAATATAATAAATTTGTTGAGATGAGTTTTGTAATCGACGAAGTGTGACATAGTATCAACAAAGTGTGGGAGGAGTCCTAAATTTCGTGACGTCACATTTCAAAGTCTATGTGACAAAGTCTAATACTTTTGAAGATTAACGAAAAAGTTTTATTTTATTAATTTTTAAGTGTAAAAAAACGTGACCGCACGCTAAGGAGAGGGGTCAACAAAATTTTTGTAGATAGGGTTATATCGGTTTTTAATATTCTAACATAACATAAGTATTGTATACTAACACATGGATCTATGTTGTCTGAATAATAAATGATTTGAATTTGAAATCACATAATAGGGAAGATGCATATATAATATTTATGAAAAATTTATGATTAAAATGTTAAAAAAATATAAAAGAAATGCCACTGCAACGTTTTTATTTAACATAATGTTGTTTTTTAACAATTATTACGAATTAAAAATACTTGCAACGGAACGTATTTTAAAACACCAATCAGCGATTAGTGACGTCCCTCCTGTTATGACAACTTCTTTGAGGTTAAGGTTGTTAAAGTAAATATTATTAAGGGAATATTTATTGCGTTTTTTTACATTTAATAAAAATGGAAGTTGCGTTTATCAAAGCAGACTCCAGGAATTTACCAAGAGTTAGCGTTGACATGGTTATAACTTTTTTTGTCCAAAGTGCAGAGTTTTTAAGTGTAGAAATGAAAGGGACTAAATTACAACGGTATGTAAAAATCGTAGTTGTTATACTTCGTATTTTATTCAGCGGCTTCTACAAATCTCACGGCGATAATGCAATCGCTATGTCCAAATTAAAAGAGATGGAGAATTATGTACAGTAAAAGGTCGCGTTCTCCGGAGCATAAAGTACGTAAAGAAGGTTATCGTGTTACAGTTATTTTAAATGAAAGGCAAAGCTTGGTTCAGTCCTGCCAATGTGAAGATTGTGCCACACATTTTAAACTTTATCTAATTTTTCACGTCATTCTCCGACTGTAAAATTAAAAATATGTTCTAGACAGGTTTTGTAAGTATTAGGTAGGTTACTAATGCGTTTTTACGTACAAGCAGATTAATTAAGCATATAACAAGTATATTCGCCGACTTACGTCAAAGTGATCTTCTCAGCATCGAATAATGGTCTTTGGAGAATAATTGTCATTTCTCTTCGCAGCTTGAAACCACTTTTTTTCAGTTTTGGGTCAGAAGTTCCAGTTAAAAACAATTTATTTGGGAACTTTGTTGAAGTAGATTGGCACAAAACACGAGTCAACACGGATTTTTTTCGGAATATTAGTGGTATTGTTATGATCACATGATGTTCATGGATAGTCCATTTTAAATTTTTCAAAAAAATATTTCGAAAGTCGAAAAAATATGCAAAAGTATGAAAATTTAAAGCCAGCAACGAACAATTACGACCAGTGACAGACAGGATTGACGTCATCGCAACCATAGGTTCGTTTTCGCGCGAAAATTTAAATTGTCAATTTAAAACCGCATTTTTTCCGATAAATCACAATGTTTTAATTTTTTAATATATCTGTGGTTTATTCTAGATGGAATTCTTTAAAATGGAAACAAAAATAAAAATATTACATCTTCCCTATTAGTGTGAATTACTTTATGGATGACCCCTTATACTTTTTTTTTCTTATTGAATATAGGATTATGTACATACGATACTTTTTCCATTGAAAGGACTCGTTATCTTCTGTAAATCCTTAGAAGTCCAATATGGCGGGTTTGGTGTCGCGTGCGCACTTAACGAGCGAGTGCATGAGTTTTACAAATCCCGTGTCTTTTGGCTTCTCAAGACCTCGCAGGAGACGATTTTTCATCACTGCCACGAACTCTCGATTGCTCAATTGTCCGTCCACTGCAAAAAAAAGAAATATCTTAGCAAAGTACGCTTGAAAAATAAAATTTTCAGGATTATTCAGGATTATTAAACGACTATAGGAGCTCAATGGCGCAAGTGGTTAGCATGTTCGGCTGCGATCGTTAAAGTTGAGCAACTTTCGCAGTGGGCGGTTATTGCATGGGTGACAAAAAAAAAATACTTTCTCGAGCTCCTCCGTGCTTCGGAAGGTATGTTTAGAAGGTGTGTATAATAATTTGCATCTGCAGTCTGGCCCAATCTCCCTATTCCGTCTATAGGGAAGGTAATCTAACAGATTCCTCCATTCCAACTACTCTTAAGCGTATTTACAAAAAAAATTACAAGCAGCTTATAAATATTACACTAAGTCAGATTTGGAGCAGCGTCCAGTCGCGAAGATTTAAAGAAAATGAAAGAAAAGCCGCCACAGCCCAGCCAGTTGTTGTGCGGATGCAGGTCGACGTGGGCTGGTCGATGGACCTTGTCTTGGATGGATGAGTGAAGATATCTGAAACGCGCACACAGGCGTCTGACTTACTGTTCTCGTCGAATATGGTGAAGACGACGTTGACGAGGTGCGGATGCAGGTCGACGTGGGCAACGGCGCGCGCCAAATGCGTGGGCTGGTCGATGGACGCGCCAGCTATGTGGTAGAACGTCAGCGCCGTGTCCACGTCGTTAATGTTGTTCAGCAGGTGGAAGAATTTCAAGTAGTCGTCTTTTGTTATGCCCGCACCGTGGTCGCGGATTATTTACTACGAAGATGCCATCAAGTTGGCTAGATAAGCTGGACCATTTTTGCGACAGAGAGTAAATGAGGTTAAATTAACTCACTGTTATTGTCGAATGTGGCGAGAATGCCCTCAAGCTTGAATAAGACGGCAATAACACAGAGCAAGCTTATCTACTCACTGTCTTCGTTGAATGAAGCGACTGTGTTGATAACCTTCGGGTTAGTTGTGAAAACTTGGAGTTTGCTACTCCTATTTTTTCCTTATGTAGTTACACAAATAGCTGATTAGAGCAGCTTTTTATTCGATCGGAGTCAAGTTGCGCAGACATCTGAAAGGAAGCCAGTTATTTCTTTACTTAGTTATTCGACTTACTGTTAGTGTTGCAGCACAGTCCAGTCGCGAAGATATCTGAAAGGCTCACACAGGCAGTTGTCAGACTCACTGTTCTCGTCGAATATGGTGAAGACGACGTTGACGAGGTGCGGATACAGCTCGACGTGGGCAACGGTGCGCGCCACGTGGCGCAGCGTGGGCTGGTCGATGGACGCGCCAGCTATGTGGTAGAACGTCAACGCCGTGTCCACGTCGTTTATGTTGTTCAGAAGGTGGAACAATTTCAAGTAGTCTTCTTTTGTTACTGCCACGTCATGAGACTTACTGTTAGTGTTAGAACAGAGTCCAGTCGTGAAGATATCTGAAAGGCGCACACAGGCAGTTGTTAGACTCACTGTTCTCGTCGAATATGGTGAAGACGACATTGACGAGGTGCGGATGGAGGTCGACATGGGCAACGGTGCGCGCCACGTGGCGCAGCGTGGGCTGGTCGATGGATGCGCCCGCTATGTGGTAGAACGTCAGCGCCGTGTCCACGTCATTTATGTTGTTCAGGAGGTGGAAGAATTTCAAGTAGTCGTCTTTTGTTATGCCCACGCCGTGGTCGCGGAACCTATCGAGGTAAAACGACCACATTTTTTATAATTATAATCAAAATCATTTATTCAGTTTAGGCTGTTACAAGCATTCATAAATGTCTAGAAGCTACGCCGTCGGTTCGTTCGCCGTACGTAAATCAACGGCGGGAGACCTTGTACTGAGAAGAACCGCCAAGAAACTCAGCACGGACTGCTTTTTCTCCCTGTTTTATTATTTACAGAATCGTGAAATTGAAAACTGACTTCGGACATGATTCATGTAGTCACCTTTCATTACATAATGTTTAAATATACATTAATTGTTTACCTGCATTTTGATTGCTGTATCATACAGTATAGTATTCGGGCGACCAACCATCGAACATGGGCTCGCGCGGCAGCCGCAAGCTCACTTTAGTACAGAAACAGTCTTCTCATCTTCATGCGAACAATTTACTGATGGCATTTTGCCTCATAGAATAAAATGACGTCGGACAGACATCGTGCTGCCGCGCGAGCCAATGGAGAAGTATACGCAAAGCGCGACATAGATGGCGCTGCAAACGCTTGACTCAAACTACAGCCAAATATTGCAGGTGTAAAATTTTAGACGTTTTTTTTTGTTGTTAAAAATATTAAATAAGTGGTGAAAATGTATTCAACATGGTCTGTAGTACAACTAAAATCAGAGTTGAAAAGGAGAGGAGCATCTGTGCAAGGCAGAAAAGCTGATCTTGTAGAAAGGTACTGTTTCTATTATAATCCTAGGATGCTCATCATCGGTACATAGATTAATTATTTTCCATGATTATTTTAATAGTCCCCCCCCCCCTTTCAAAGCAACATATAAAATTATATATTAGTCGGTAAGCATGCAGTTATTGTCCATAATACATTTTTAAATTCTGACCCGTACTGGAACTATCGCGCAGGTAATCAGATTTTTTATTAAAATGTTTGTGACAAAAATATTAATTTTATTAAGTAAAATGATTTTTTATTGCTTGTTCCCACAGTCTTCTTATTCCGATCTTTTGGAAACTTGTGGCTTCCGTTCTCAAAACAACCAGTAACTACACAATGCGGCATTCGATCTGTTTAGTAAAAAGCTTAAAAATGAACATAAGCTAAAAGGTATGTATTTGATAGAAGTTTTGGGTCAAGCGATTACACCGCTCCCAGGTGGCCAAAATTTGCAGATATCTTGTCCATTCAACATTGCTACGCTTGAATGTGGCGCGCGGTGTATATTTTATTCTATCAAGCAAAGGAGCGTCAGCAAATCTGTCTATAATCTCCATTGTTTTAACAATCGCCATTTTCTGTATTAAGGCGGCGTTTTTTTTTCAAATGTGGCCGTATACGAGTATTTGCCGTAGATCGTAGTCGAAATATTATCGCGATAACCCGATAAGAGCCTTTACGCGATAGTGTTGCCGTAACGTAAGAAATCAGAAATTTGCGACTTTCAGCCGATCATTGTTTGACCTATTTTATGTAGTTTCCTTTCAATATCAAAATAAAACTTTCAATATCAAAATAGACTTTTATAAAAGTCTTTCGAAGGTAGCTCGACAAATTAAACAAAAGTTTTATTCTGACGACGAAGCCTGGAAAGGCTACGAAACGTCAATAAATAAATAAAGTTTCGTGCATTATCCCGTTTAAACTAGTTTTATTTAATGAGTGATGTGCGTGAAAACCTAAGAAACAAATATCAAAATAAAACTTAACCAATAATAAATTACATGCTCGTCATCACTTAATGAAGACTGTGCAAGTTCACCGAGACAGTACTGATTTATAGCGAAATAAATAATATTAATTACACTATGAAAAAATTCTACCATATTGAAATAGATAAAATAATTAATACTTCCTCTTAAAGAAGCAAGTGACACTTTTACGAGCAGAGACCATAATATGGTCTCATATTTCATAATATCATAATATTATTATGATCTCTTTAGGTACGTTAAAGTCAAGTTTAAGTAAGGTACCGCGCAACTGAGCGCATTGCAGTGGCTTTTAAAAGGAATTATAAATGATATGGATGCATTACTCTTTAACAGACTCCACTAAAACATGGTTCCAAACGCATAAATCTAAACATCAATACTAACGGGAGACGCACACAAACAAAACAAAATAATTTGACAAATCAAATATCTGCAAATGAATTCGGCTATCCCATCATTGGGTAGAACAATGTTACAATGGAATCTCAACCAATCCTATGATCGGCGCCGGCGTGTTGATTGCGTTTTTTTCGGCCCGCCCAGTTAATCGCGTGCTTTAGCTCAGTTCGTATATCATATCATTTCTAATTCGTGGGTCTATTTAACACACCTTTATTAGGTCGACCTGTATGTAACTATGTAATGGAATCTAGGTTAACTAATTTAACCATCTTTCAAGAATAGTAGCGTAATGATCTTGGCAATTATATAGATAAGATGACAATAAAATATCATATCATAGTACCATCGAGCTGGCCTGATGATGGGACTGGAAGGTGACTGATGGACCCTTGACTGCCTACTAGTAATAAAACTAGCTCATTACATTCGTCTAAATAAATTCTGTATATTTCACTTCTAATTCGTAAATAAACAAAATATACTCTATGTTTACTTCATTAGGGTCTTAGAATAAGCCATGTTTGTAGTTTATTTTAACATATATATATCTGAAAGAAGCGTGGGGTGCTTCATTATTAACTTTTAACTGAATTGTTAAGCATTATGAATCACGTAATATATTAATTGATTTGAAAAATATTGCAATTAATAGCGCCCCACGCTTTTCCAGTTATTATCTTTATATATATAATTCTTCTGTGAGTGTGTATGTCACTGAACTTCTCTTAAACGACTGGACCGATTTTGATGCAATTTTTTGTGTGTGTTCAAGGGGATCTGAGAATGGTTTAGATTCACAATTTTGTCCGCTGGACAACCCCTATTTTTTTAGGGCGGTACGAAGTTCGCTGGGTCAGCTAGTATATATATATATACATAATATATGTTAAAATAAACTATAAACATGGCTTACTCTAAGGCCCTAATGAAGTAAACAGAGAGTACTTATATTTTTAGCTTTTTAGTTTAGTAAATTTTTTGCTTATAATAACACCTCGGGAATGCAAATTTCAGAATCATTTACTAATCTTAGGCCCGTATTATAGAAAGATTCTCAGTGATTGATCTAGTATTGCGCATAGTTAGAAAGGGATGTCGCTATACCTAGTCAGGTCATAAATTCTGTCACATGTTTAATATAAAATAATTGAAACAAGTTTATTCATTATGTAACCATTTATATACCAAAATGAACTTAACAGAACATAGATTCTTATGACAATAAAGTTTATTCAAAATGACCTCCGTGATTTTGAATACAGGCCTTCAATCTGCGCGGCCAGTCGTCTATCGCAGCACGAACGAGGTCCATGTCAATATCGGCGGCTGCCTTAATCAAGGATCTCTTGAGTGACTCCAAATTGGGAAGAGGTTTTGAGCATGCCTTTTCCTCCAAGTGTTGCCATATCTTGTAATCTAACGGAATCAAATCTGGACTGGAGGAGGGCCAGTCTTCGTGTCGGATGAAGTCTATTCACGCGCTGCCAGCCAGTCTTGTGTGCTCTTCGCTCTATAAGCTGGCGCCGAATCTTGTTGGAATACCCAGTGCCTGTTATTCAACATGGTAGAGAAACAGGTTCCACAAGGTTCGTTAGGACTGTATTTTGATACACAACTGCATTCGTTTTTACACCTTTCTCACAAAAATGTACCTCTGTTAAACCCCAATAAGAAACTCAGTACCATGGTATGAGCGAGGATGGAAAATGACCTCGTTGGACACGCGGAATACGGATGCTCGCTTCTTCCCTACTGTCTGCGTACACCTTATCATTTTGTTTGTTGTAGCTCTCTTCTACGGTAAAAATTTTTTCATCCGAAAAAAGAATTTCCCGATATTTTTTTCCCGCGTACCGCTTCAAGAAAGCGCGGAATCTCTTCAGTCTCAGGTCCATTAGACGAGCATTCAAACGATGTCCTGTTTTTCTTCGATATGCCCGAAGCCCTAAGTCTTCATTTAACACCCTTTTCACCGTGGTTCTGCTTAACCCCATCTGAAGGGCCAACAGTTTCTGCTTATGTTTGGGATTTCTTTGAATTCGCGCCTTCACAGCTTTTATCACTGCTGGAGTCCTAACAGACCGAGGGCGACCACTTCTTGGCCTGTCATCTACACTAGAGTCTTCATTGTATCGCTTGATGGTACGATAAACGAATCTTTTGGTTATATTCAAATTTTTCAGTGCGTCACAAAATTGAATTGGCGCTTAACCGCAACGATACGAAGCAATAACTGCAACACGGTCTTCTTTAAAAAAGCGTCCACTCCATATTTAAAAATGAGTAAAGTTCTAAAAAGTATACATTTTTATTTTCATGAACAATTCGAAATTCGAATTCAATAAACTTTTTTGTGGCCAGCATTCTAAAAAGAAAAGTTTTTACTGTGTGACAATACTTATGACCTGACTGTGTATATAGCACATAGCGACATCCCTTTCTAACTGTACTCAAGTAAACATTGACGTCCTCCGTGGCTGAGTGGTTTGTACGCCGGGTTTCATGGTGCCTTCAACTCGAGAGGTCCCGGGTTCGAATCCCGGTGGGGGCAGATGTTTGTGTGATGAACACGAGCATTTGTACTCCAGTCATGGATATTTAATATGTATTACTATATAAATATTCTTTTATATGTACAGTATATGTAATCTATCCGTAACCCTAGTATCCCATAATACAAGCCTTATAGTGCTTACTTTGGGGCTAGGCTAATTGGTGTGAGTATTGGAAAGATTTATTTATTAATATGGGCCTTAGTCTTTTTTATAAAATACGTAAATAACCAATGATAAAACAACTTACGCCTTCTTGACGCGCTTCAGCATTCGAGCCTTCTTCTTGGCGGGATATCCTGCATATGCCAACAGCAGTTCGGCGAAATCTGCTTCCGTAATACGACCGTTCTCATCTGTAAGTTCACATACCTTCCCACTATAAGCTATGTCAAACAACAGTACCCCTAGCACGAAACAATATCGAATTTGAATCGTTTGCGAATCCGAAATGTCATTGTCAAAGTGTACTGATTTTTAGTTTTCGTTACGTACTTTCTAGCGCTGCCCTTGAAGTTTCCATACAAAAGGACAATGGGCAAAACGCACCCAGCTCCGCCAACAATGTAATTAGTATGAATCGATAGATCTATGAAAAACTAGTCTTTTTTATTATGACACCGAAAATAAATATCCTGGGAGTCAAAAGATATGATACCGTAAAAAATATCCTGGTAGTCAATAGATATGACACATGGGCATATTTAAGTAGCTGAATAAATTCATTTTATAGTACCTTCATTTTATAGTATTAGTAATCCTAATAATATGCCATATCGTACTATACAACCAGATATACGACAAAGCCTGCCGACCATCCTGCGCTTGCTATAACTGAGACATTTCAAAACGGTTTGTTGATGATGAAGGACTTGCAGTTAGAAAATAGTCGACTCATCTTACTTCGTTGTAATTGTGCGCTCCCTGCTACTTAATTGATTATTATCTAACACGCTTTGGATATTGGAACACGATTATCGGTTTTGTCAATTAGTATGGATGAATTATGTGTTCTCCGAAGCGTGGACAAATTTGTGTAATCTTTGGTCGCTCCGTTTTACATATCTTCTATGTAAAAAGGGCAATTTACTATAACGAACAGAATGTTATAAAAAAAACCCAACCCATGCGGGGATGTTTGGATTTACTTTAGCGCGACAGAATAACATAAGAGGGCACCCTTGCACCTTGTGAAGTACTCCCATAATTCCTGAGCACCCTATGTAGAGTCGAACTAACTCACTAAGTTAATTCCCTTGTTTCATTCATGTTCGTTCGTAATAGTACTTGTACACATTTAACTTAAAATAACTAAAGACCCCCGGGATGGAATTTGATGCGCTTTGGCACAGATGATCTTGACTATAATACCTTTCAAACAAATGTAGTTTAAGCCGTGGCGGACGTGGGTGCAGCGTCCATACATTTTTGCCCAATGTCCTTTGACATTGACATTTAGCACTCGCAAACTATTCGAATTCGATAATGGTTCGTGCTAGGGTACCCCTAGTCCTGGTCTGTCACACCCTTATTAATAAACGAGGAATAAGCTGCGACTAGTTAAGCAGTGGTAATTAGTTTATTCATATTATTTAAATGACATATTATGTCATTCAATGAACAGAGACAAAACGTGGAGTAACTAATCCTAGTGCGTTTATTAATATGGGGGAGAGGGGTTACTCATCAAAATATTCTGAGTTATTATTTCGGAAATAAATAACGTTTTACGTTATCAATAAATAAACAAAAACTCCAGTTTTGGTTTATTTAACGATTTTATTTCATTGCACAGACAAGCCTACCTTATATTATAAATCTTAAAGTTTGTAACTTTTATATTTTCTTAGAGATAGGTCCGACAAATTACTCCGCCCCACCTGATGTTAAGTGACGGTGTAGTCCAGATGTGAAGATAGATTTTATATTCTTTATCAAGCAAAATATACTAATAGGATTTGAATGAAATTTGGTGCGCATATAACTTTGGCTTGAGACATAGGACACTTTTTATCCCGGAAAATGTTAGGTTTCAGTGTGATTTCCTAAAAACTGAACTTTACGCAGACGAAGTCACGGGCGACCGCTATTTGGATATCAAGGCTTTATAATGAGCGATAAGTTCGATATTCGTATTAAAAGTTTGAGGAGCTCGATGGCGTGGCTGTTTAGCGCGTTCGGCTGCGATCGTTGAAGTTAAGCAACTTTCGCAGCGGTCAGTCATTGGATGGATGACCAAAAATCTACAATCTCGAGTTCCTCCGTGCTTCGGAAGGCACGTTAAGCCTGGTCCCGACTGCATCTGCAGTCGTTAGCACCCGCCAATCCACACTGGCCCCCGTAATGGGTCATGGCCCAATCTCCCTATCCCATCCATAGGGAAGCCCTGTGCCCCAGCAGTGGGGACATTAATAGGCTGATGATTATGATTAAAAGTTTGCCAATGGCGAACCTCAACGGTAGGTAAATATACTTTTTAACGTCCACTGAATCGTGACAATACCATCGACAACATGTATTAATGTACTTTTGATAGGGTCAAAAGTACATTAATACAAAGGTGCACTTACCTGGTTGCTTTCTCTGGAACTCGAGAGAAAGTATCTCTTTCTGTAGTTGCTGTTGGAAGTCCAGAAACTTCTCGATTGTTAGTTTCTCATTTAACTTCGGCCCAAAGAAGTATGTGGTTAGGGCTGAGTTTATTCCCTGTAAGCAAATTTCAGGCAGATTTATAAATAATAGTTATTTATTATACAAGAGTGGAAAGTTCCTTTTTAACCGCGTGCTCGATTTGGATGACCGAGCAAGCGAAGGATTCTAAAGTTGAATCACGAGCGCAGCGAGTGATTCTAAATTAGAATCCTGAGCGTCAGCGAGGGAAACAAACGAGCACAAGGTGAAAAATCTTTCCACTCGAGTGCAATACGTAACTTTTCATCCCACCTCAGCGAGGAAATGACAAAATGAAAAAGAAAACAATTTATAATGACAAAATATTTTTATTTCAATTAAAACACATTAAGATAATCTATAAATTGAAGAAAATAATAAGAAGTAGAAAATAATTAAGAAATATTAAATGTAACGTTGCTACAGTTACTTATGTTAAGTTTAATATTTTTGTTAGGTAATGTTATGTTGGTGTTTGTGAATTGTGCGCTGTTTTGTGGTAAACTACTCGTATCAGTAATTTTAAATAGTTGTGCCGATTCATTGGATTCTATTGGCGTAAATGTTGGCGAGAGAGGGCTATTGTTTCCAATCTTATGGGGGCTCATTTTAGATGTAGAAGGGCGAGACCAAGAATCTGACAGAGGTTCTTTCAGCGTTATGGCCTCCACGATACTATTACAAATTTTTGATTTACTTTGGATTGAATCCTCTATGTATCCCTCTACAACCGAATTAGACTTCCAGCCTCCATGGCGCTTAAGCGATAGAAGATCAGCCCCTGATTCGGCCAAAAGTGTGGCTGAGGTTCTTCTAAAACAGTGACCGGTGTATAACGGGGGTTCTAGAAGTCCGAGAAAAGTTGCTATTTCTCGTGGAATACTGCCAATTTTATTCTGACCCATAGGTTGTCGGATACACTTTCCGTTGCGATATTGTAGAAAAAATCGTTCAATTGGGGTGTTAGAAGGACGTAAAGCTTGATATTTCTGAACAATGTTTACATATTCCTTGCGAATAACGAAGTTGCGGTCTTTTTTTGTCTTGGTATTTAGTACATTAATTAATAGCAATTCATCAGAATTATGAGAATATTTTGATACGTTATTGACATTAAGTAGTGTAAGTTCATTTGTTCGACATGCTCCGGTTATACCAATAATAAGAACAACCTGTAACAAAAGAAGTATTTATAATCGTAAATAAATTAATCAAATTAAAAATATTGTAAGTACTATGTACAATTTTATCAACAACAAAAAATTACACGTATTGACTTACTTTTGCCGCTAAATATACGGAATCAGGTGCTTCATTAATAAACTTTGCAATTTCAGATGCTGTGAAAACCTTCGATTTTTTTGGTTTATAACCAGATGAGGCTCTTTTTAAAAATGCCACTAATTTATGATAGGTGTCGATATGAACGTCTTTCTTCATCTTAATTGTTAATTTTAGCATTGAATACGTACTCCATAGCGTGCTTGCTTTCTTGGTCTCAGATAATTCTATAAAATATGCCAGCAAAACGTTTTCGGAGAAAGTTTTTGCTCCTTTAGCTAGTTAAATATATCGTACTGTTTCAAATACTTCTCTCGTGATTGCTGAGGGAGAAGGCTCATTTGCGCTTTATTAACTGTTTCAGTTAACTCAGTTGGCGTTAGATAAACTTCATCGTCGCTAATGTCACTCATTTTAGTTGATTTTTTTGTACAGTTTTTAGGTTATGTTAATTATATTAAGCAATAAAACGTGAAAAACTAGAATGGCGCGAAGCACGCAAATAAAACAAAGAAACCAAGAAGGTTCCAAATTTAAATTTTTTCACAATTTAAAAAGTTCTAATCATAAATTTGGCACCATAGAGGTTACATTAAATAGGTTTAATGACGTTTTGAATTTACAATTATATTGAGTACTCATTATATGTGATGTTCTAAATTCAAATCTACTTTGCCGCTCAAGCGAATAAAATAGAATTTTCCAGCCAAATTTCGAAGCGCAAAATTACACTTTCCGAGGTGGTGGGATGAAAAATAAATAAATATTTCCGACATTCACAACAATTAGCCTAGCACCAAAGTAAGCATTGTAGGCTTGTGTTATGGGATACTAGGATAATGGAAGGTAACATATTCTGATACATATATAAGTATATTTATATAGAAATACTGATTAAATATCCATGAATGGAGTACAAATGCTCATATTCATCAAACAAAGATCTGCCACCACCGGGATTCGAACCCGGGAGGGACCTCTTGAGTAAGCGACACTTTGAAACCCGGCGTACATACCATTCGGCCAGAGGTCGTCCCAGCACGCTGTATAACCTTGAATGTGTTGCTAGTGTTGGCGTGGTCCCGGTGCCGAAAGCCAATGTTGCTTTTAATATTTTTGTTTGCCTAATCTTGAAGGTGTTGCCTGTGTTGTTTGTCTTACCTTGAATGTGTTGCCAGTGTTGGCGTGGTCCCGGTACCGGAAGCCAATGCTGCTCTTAATATTTTTGTTTGCCTAATCTTGAAGGTGTTGCCAGTGTTGTTTGTCTTACCTTGAATGTGTTGCCAGTGTTGGCGTGGTCCCGGTGCCGGGAGCCGATGCTGCTCTGTTGGCGGATGAGCGCCGCCACCTTCTCGAACTCCTCGCAGTCTACGTCCCCATCGCCGTTCAGGTCGAACATACGGAACGCTATCTCGAAGTGGCGACGTGACGCTACGATAGTAACAAAATGATAAATACAAGAGTATAACATTAGCATGCATAGGATATTAAGACAGTTTACTGCATTTTCAGTTTCATGACATATAAACTCATCTTCTCACATCAATTTGTATTTAAGTATTATTATTTTATTGCTGTTATTTAATGTTAATTTTCATTGTATTAATTTTTAGCAACTTTTCCCTATCGCCATACTATTTGTCTCCAACACTCATACTGGTTGACTGGTAGAGAATGCCTATGGCATTAAGTCCGCCGTTTGCTTATGTTGGCAATAAAGTTTAAATAAATAAATAAACTCATACGTAACGCTCATAAGTAAAAGATCTAGCTTAGTTAAAATAGATTTTACAGATCAAATTAACAACGTTATCTGTAAGGTGTAAGTTCTTTTGGGAGCAATGATCTCTGTAGTACCTAGAGCAGAAACACGAACAATGATTCTAAATCTCTCTCTCTTACCTACTAATCTAAACGGGACCCTCGTGTGCGCACAACACAAGCTTTGTACGATGACATTTTGTTATGGATGACCTAAGGACCATTACATATTGCAATGAGTAAAAGCTCAGACGCATCGTCGTGTAAGAACGCACTTTGTATACTATGAGATCGCATTTTACATCTATATGTAAAAATATAACAATATATATATATATATATATATATATATATATATATATATATATATATATATATATATATATATATATATATATATATATATATATATATATATATATATCAATTAATTAAAAACACCGGCAAAGTCGGTGTTACATAATGGTATGTATGTATGGCACACTACGAGAAATCGCTACGATTAGACTGTACCGTCCGAACGGTACCGATATATCGTAGCGTGTATGTTATAAAACTGCACAGTTTCCTATACGTACGCCACGTACGATAAACTGTTCCGTTCGAACTGTACAGTCTGATCGTAACGATTTCTCGTAGTGTATGGCTACCATAAAAGATTCCGTTTTGTATCGTATTGTTCAAAGATCACATTTGCAATATTAATCATCGAGCTTTGCAGAAGTAGTCGTTTTGAAATGCAACATTTCTTGTATAGGGTCTCCTTTTATTTTACTTTATCATACGTAACAAGTAGACAGTTTTTTTTCTGACTGTTATTAATTTACTGTTTATAAGATAAGATACAGCCAGCTGGCAGACGGACGAAGAGGAAAGCTTAGTAATAAAATTCCGATATTATCCTTTGGGCATTACCGTGTCGTGCGTAAGTATACAATCCTGCCCCTCTAGCATGACCAACGAAACGGGATATAATAAAACGATATATCGGCATTAACTGTCAGACTACAGTGGAGTTTCACAGTAGTATGACAGTTAATGCCGATATATCTCTTTATCATATCCCGTTTCGGTGGTCATGCTAGAGGGGCTGGTGTTATATTTATAACCAATTGATAAAATTATACGTTATAAGTAAATACTTTTGATTACAAAAAAATTAGGAATAAATTAGAATCTCATCGATTTCTGTATTAGACGGAGATAAACTTGTGTAGCTTATTAACAATACCTCTCTAAACTAAAACTTGTTTTCATCCTTTCGTTCGGTACCTATTATACGCGACTATCGAACTCTTTTGCAAAATTAGTTGTGTAAACTAACATTCTTTTGCAAAATTAGTTGTGTAAACAACAGTATATAAAATACTGTCAGATGTGATGGTTGTATTAATGCAATAACGAATTATGTTACCCGATGAGCTAGATAAATCTCGTTGTAGATAAAATCATTAAGTTCGCTCATGCTCAGTGAGCTCGGTCCGGATGCTGCGTGCGCTGCGAACACATCTACTACATCCCAACCTTCGACTTTATACACGCTAAGTAAAACATGTGTTTGTAACGTCAACGACATTCTAACAAAACAAAAAGGAAAAACGGAAATAGAAAACCTCATACGCAAGCGACTGAACAAAACTACAATAGTACCACATGACGCGTAAACATGGTAATGTCATTGAAACGAATGACGATGAAGCTAAAAACGAAAGGCTTCTACTATCTGAGATGTGGTGCGAAGACAATGACCTTCCTGTTTTGGGCGACCCTTTACATGGTCGTGATGAGAGTGACCATATTCAAGAGCAACACTCCAACGCCAGTCGTTCGGGACTGGTCAATGGTACCTGACAATTACACGAAGTGGCTGGTAATGTAGACTACCTTTTTTTTATTTTTCTGAATGTTAGCAGTGTTTTTTTAAGTTTATATGTTCCCAACTGTTCTTAAAGGCGACTACGTCAACAACAGCTAGTTTTGTGTTGATAAATTTCTAATGCAACCTGATTCCCCAGTCAGTGCTGAATGCAATAATCGAACCTCATAACTTTTTCAGAATCTCTAGCTTTTAAAGTAATCATATTTTTTTGCAGTTGCAAGGCCCCGTTCTAGGTGATGATGATGAACACGAGACAGACTCGAGTGAGGCCGACTGGTCGGAGCCTGATAACACCACGATAGCTGAATTAGAACAGAGATCTGCCAGGATACAGAGTGTCTGCCGTATACGAGGCCTTCCTACTAATACGATAAACAGTAAAGAGTTCTTCGTGGATCACATTCACAGTTTAGTATGGTGCAATGTTTTTAAAGCGGCGAGCTCATTTTGGCTGTACAAGTTCAACATTTTAGGTAAGGAAAAAAAAAACATGGTGGAAAAATTTATCTGCCGACTTTTTTTATACCTCAGAACTTTAAATTTTTCAGGAGGATATGAAAGGAAATTTTTGGCTCGCACAAGACAAACACCGCTGATGTTAGCTCGAAAGAAATTTCCGCGGCCTGTCGAAGAAGAATTACGAGACGCTATTAATACTCCCGGAGTTATTTCATTGATGGTAGTACGAGAACCTTTTGTTAGACTATTATCAGCATACAGAGATAAACTGGAACACATTACCCCGCCGTATTACAGGAAATTAGCGAGGGCTATAGTATCGGAACATAGAGAGAAAGCCACAAAGTTATTTGGACCAATCAAAAGTTATGGACCGACTTTTTATGAGTTCGTGGCTTATTTGATAGAGAAGCACAAAACGGAGGGCAAAAACTTTACAACCGACGAACACTGGGCACCTTATCATCAGTTTTGTACGCCGTGTGCTGTGAATTTCACAGTAATAGCTAAAGTGGAAACTTTACCCAGGGATTCTGGATACGTTATCCAACAATTAGGTCTTGGGCATGTGTTAGGCCCTAAAGTTACTGACAGAAGGATTAGACTTCGCACAGTGATGAATAAATCTAAAGATGGTAGAAATACTACCGCTCTATTAAAATATTACTTTAGCCAAATTGATGAAAAGATGCTTAATGACTTGTTACAAATCTATGGTACAGATTTTGAAATGTTCGGATATAATCCAAAAGTTTATCGTCATTATATTAGAAAATAAAGAGTCTATTTCATGAATTTATTGTGTTATTCTCACATTTAACTATAATGTCTGTTATACGTCACGTACGTAATAATAATACGTAGATAAAATTCTACACGAATATTAAGTTGGTGCTTGCTTTTTTATGATAAAGGGGTGGCAAAAAAACATTTGTCCCGCCTGATGGTAAGCGGCTACTCGGTTTATAATTTCAGGAGGTTAAAAAGTCATTTTCCTCGCCTGTCAGTATATTTAGTATCCCATTCCAGTATGCCAACTGCTTGCAAACACCGAAACTAGTTTTTGTCAACTTATTTCCAAATCATCTTCCGGATAACACCGTCATCGTATGAGTTTTAGATTGACCTTAATTTATAAATTAATACATTAATTACTACATCAGCAGCGAAGGATTTGAACCCGCTCTCAATATATCGGAGATATGTAATTGCAACAGTATTATGTAATATAACCGTGCAATACTTACTTGATAAAACAGTGAGCAGGAAAATGTAGTCGCTGAATGTGATCAGACCAGATGACCCAAGTTTGTAAAATATTGAATCTTCATCTAGATCTAGATTCAGACGTTGGCTGATATTCTGAACAGAAAACAATACATTAACTTTTAATATGCTAACGCCTTCTTTTAAAAAGCGAATAACTAAGCACCCAAAACTAAAACTAATGTAATGATCAACGACTGGAAAAATTAAGAATTAATCAGAAAATAAAACTTTGGTAAAATTGTCCGAAATTTATAGCCGGTGGATAAGATTCCATTTTAATATAAACAAAATAATGCATCTATTGATCTAAAGGAAAAGAAATGCAGACAAAGAAAATACAATAAATAGTTAATTGTTAGTTTTTTTTTGAAATTTATAAATATTTAAATAAATAATAAGGGTGAAAGGGCTACTGTTAATGATATTTTTTTTCGTTAATTCGATGATGTAAAGATAATTTAATTAGGATTTCATATAATTTAGACTTTGATCTGTGGAATACAATTTATTTCGTCCAAATTTTAATTGTATGTAATTTTGATGCGTTCGCGAGTTAGATTACGCGCTGTATGTGTTGACTTTAGTCTTCACGGAGCCGGAGTATGTGAAACATATATTTTTGTGTCAAAAAGTTCTTCGCAAATATAGAGTTCTACTGCTTATAACGGGTAAACGGTTTAGAAGTGTCTAGCTTTGAAAAGTACATGATTTCGGCTTATTTTTGGAATGCCCACTGAGATGATAAGGAAAACGTTCATCGAATGCACGTCAAAAATAAAATGTTCCAAAACAATGAAATTTATAAAACATGCTGGGATTTAAATAAATAACGTCAACAGTAAGATAACATAAGACAGGCAAACACATGTTCTAAAGGTACACTATAAAACATGGCAAACCAAATCTAAATGAGTGTGGATCTACCTATAGCCTCTATATTTATAGGTGTTTGGTGTTGAAACTAATCTAGGCATTTTCGTGATCCAATGGCGTTGGTATACAAAACAAGAAACTAACGCAAAATCTGTGCAGATAAAAAGATAAATAATATTCGAGAGTGGTAGAGATAAGAAGAGAAGAAACAATACCTCATCGATGTTCTGAAAAGATAAGAAAGTGATGTGAGTGGCCGGAAGGAAGGTGCTAGTGCAGTGTTCAGTGACGATTTAAATACAAATTAGGCATAAGTTAACGGCATTTTAACGTTCAAGTCCATAATAATAGTTTACAAAAGTTTTACAGGCATTTTTTTTATAAAAGTGATAGTTAGATTAAGTAATTTCAGTAAAAACTTATGCCAAGAACAGAACAAATTATTTAAAAGAAAATCAAATATATAACTTCATAACAGGACTTTAAATATCATACTTAAAGGAACAAGTATAGTATAGTTAAAGCAAGGGATTTTGGAAAATATAATAGGGTATTGAGAAGAATAAACTCAAATCACCAATCATTCATTTCCTCATCAAAAAACATTGTTCATCGAAGCCTAACACTATAATAATGCTATAAACATACCAGCTAAAATCTATATAATACATTAAACAGACGACATAAAATACCCAACAATTTTTAAATATAATAAACATTAATATTGAAAGAATATTACCTTTGGATCATATCTTCTGTACTGATCAAGCCCCAAGCCTGCCAAAAAATATTAAAGCTTTACAGACTTGTATTTTTTTCCTTAACAATAGATTTTTAAGAATAAAATAATGACAGCTTATCATATTTTTCGCATAATAGTACACAATTGGATTTATTAATAAGTAATGTCGTTTACGACTTATCACAATAACTTTACCATCAGGTTGCTTAACTCCAGGTGTCATGGATCGTAGGAAGTCATCAGGCGTCATAAACACCTCATGCTGATCATGGTGTTGAGCTTGCAGTGTTGCGAAGTACCGAAATACCTTGTCTGGAGTAGAGTATTGGCGCATGCGATTCTCATACTCGATGATCTATTCAGCAGCGTCCAAAGTAAAAATGGGCAAATTTGAGAAGCCGCCACCTTAAGGCAAGGTACTTGCACGTACAGGGGTTAGTCGAAAGTTAATCATAGATTACTTGCTCAGTGAGTTAATCCAATAAATGTTGATTGATATGTACACAAGCATATTATAGCAAAGATATCCTACTCATCCTAGTAATATTATAAATGCGAAATTTTGTATGGATGTTTGTTATTATTTAACGCAATAACTACTTAATGGATTTGGATGAAATTTAACACACATATACTTAGTTTATTATCTGGATTGAAACGCAGGACTTTTTATTTCGCAAAAATGATAAGTTCCTGAGGGATTCTCAAAAAACTATAGTTAATGCGCACGAAGTCGCGGCGGGCGCTAGTTATAAGTTTTTAAGACAAATTCAGTCAAACTTTTTAACAGACTATGTGGTGGGATTGTTTGCATTATATACTTATATGTACAATATATGTATTCTAGCCGCACAGTGTTTTATAGAACCAAAAATATTTACATCTTAAGATTTTTGCATAAATCAATTATTTAAACCCTAATAAAGGCTAGAGTTCAATTCCCAGATCACTATTTTAAGTAAAATAAAGATATGAAGTAGCAAAGTTTTTGAAATTTGCGCATGAAAAAATTAACAATTTAATTTCCTCAAAAGACGGTTCCATATCTGTCCATGAGATATTTGCCACTTGCTAAGGAATTATTGTTGGCATAATTTTGTAATTTTATTTTATTTATAAGTGTCCTAGTTTCCAAGAAATAAAGTTTTTTTAAATTTCGATTTTTAATTTTTTTCTTCAAAAATCGGCAAAAGTGGAACCTGGATTTAGTACAGAAAGATTCTATAAGCCAAGTTCTATCACCCATAAAAAAATCAAGTTTCACTTTTGCGGTTTTAAGAAGTTATGACAGAATTTAGATAAAGGTCAACTTTCATGATCTAGGGTTGTCACAAAGGTCAACTCTGAGTTAAATGAAAATGTTATTTTTTTTTGTTATTAATACCGTCAATCAATTGAATAAATTATATTATATTATAATTGAATAAGTGTTGTACTTATAGACGAATACAATATACTTACATATACTACCTACCTAATGTAGATGTGAAAATGTAGGAATACTTTGTTTTAATTTTGACGACCACATTTTAATTTTGCCTTACACGCTAAATGGCAACGAAAAAATAAACTATGTTGTTTGAAAAAATTTAACACACATCCTATACTATAAACGAGCAATTATTGTATGTACCTATATAAATATTTTGGTATGTAATTGGTTTCTCGGAAATGGATCTAACGATTGTGATGAAATTTTGGATGTAGAAATTCATTCACATTTAAAATCAATCTAGGATAGTGTTATCACCTGCCGGCACCTTCTTTATGCAACATAGAGGTGTTGCTTTAACTTTTATACAAATAAATCATCTTCGTTTAATAATTCTAGGTTCCTTTCATTTGCGACGTTCGAAAAATCTTCATCTTCAGCATCTTCCTCTGCTTCGAATAATAATAATAATAATAATTTATTTCCAAATTTCACAACAATTTTACAGATTTCTAGCCCCCACACTAGGCTTAGCCTGTCCTGTGGGGGAAGGATTTTAATTTTTGATAACGGCAATCGATCTGCATCAATTGGTTGTAAGAGCTTAGATTTTATGAACTGTTACTGTCACCGGGTGCCAACTATAAAAACGGACATATTTTTCAACCCTAGATCATGAAAGTTGACCATTATCTAAATTTTGTCATAACTTCTTAAAACCGCAAAAGTGAAATTTGATTTTTTTATGGGTGATAGAACTTGGCTTATAGAACCTTTCTGTACTAAATCCAGGTTCCACTTTTGCCGATTTTTGGAGAAAAATAATTAAAAATCGAAATTTAAAAAAACTATATTTCTTGGAAACTAGGACACTTATAAATAAAATAAAATTACAAAATTATGCCATCAATAATTCCTTAGCAAGTGGCAAATGGGTGATTCTCAGTTAAGAGGTAATCGGTTGTATGGAAGCAGTGGCACAGCAAAAAGTGTAGATATTTATATAACTATATCACTACTTTTATCAAGACAGACGATTTTAATATGATTTTAAGATGATCAGTCATTTATTTATTTATTCTCGTTTTGCGAGACACCAGGGGAGATACTGAGTACAGGGTAGAGACAAGATGAACTTTATAATTTTTATTATTTTTAAAGCATGTAACTGCTTGATGTTTAAATCTAAAGAAAATATAACTAGAAAAAAAATTCCACGCGGACCAGGCAGCAGACGGGACCCGCACCCTTCGCAATCCGGGCGAATGCACTGACCAATTATGCTACCGCGGCCCTCACGGACCGCGTCGAAATTCTTTCTAGCTATTCTTAAGCTGCAAGACAGCGCCATCTCTTCGCATTATAGGTAAACCCACAATGTCAAATGAATACTTTTACAAGTATTAAACATTTGAAAGAAGAAATAGCAATTATAGTTATAATTTTTATTATTTTTAAAGCATGTAACTGCTTGATGTTTAAATCTAAAGAAAATATAACTAGAAAAAAATTCCACGCGGACCAGGCAGCAGACGGGACCAACAGACGTCCCGACGAAACATGTGTCAACCCTAGCATAAAAATTTAAAAATTAATATCTTCTAAACGCCGCAAAAGTGACACGTGGCTTATGTATGTATGATAGACCACATCCGTAGGTTTATTTCTATCTAAGTTCTAGGTTCCACTTTTTCGTTTTTAGGGAGAAAAAACAATAAATACGAAATACAAAAAAAAAATGCTGCTCCCAAACCAATGCATTTTTTTAAGCTAAAGAAACGCGTTTATACGCCTCTGATTATGCCCAATTGACACATATTTATTAAAAAAATATATTGTTAATATTCACTTTATAAAAAAATATTCTAGATTTCATAGGTCAAAGGTCACAATAAGTTCATGATTTTTTTTCTCAAAAAGTATTTGAGTTAGACTTCTGTAAATTGAACTCATGCCTTTTTTAGGGTATAAATAATCTATTTATGTAAGAACCTGAACATGTAAATTTTTTTGGTTCCATAAAAACTGTGAGCCGTTACCCTAGTATCCCATAACGCAAGCCTTACAGTGCTTACTTTGGGGCTAGGCTAATTGGTGTGAGTGTTGGAAATATTAATATCATTATTTATTTATTATCTTTATTAAACTAATTTAACGAAACAACAAATTATCACTAACGAAAAAAGTGTCAATATAAATATTCACTTAAAGGAATCATAAATTAATATGTATTAATTGAACTGATCGGGAATCGAAGCTGGCAAGTTGCGCATAGCTTCTTGTTAAAGTTGGTTAGTAAAATTCTGCAGTGTTAATTGAAAACTTTGTTAAGCTATCCAAGCAATGTCTAGTCTATTGAGTTTCATTATTATTTTTAGGTGGCATACATGCACATGGTTCATCTGATGACAAGCAGTTACCAAGATCTATAAACGACTGCCATACAACAACCAGACGCGTTGGATTTGGTTGGGACTCTGTATAAACCAACAAAATGAAGACACTTAAGCTGCATTTGTTTGGGAATACATCAAAGGGGCACTGATTTTAGAGCTTCATCGTACGGAGAAGGAACTGGCTCTGAAAACACGCAACACTACTTATCTATGAGATTAATTATCTGTAAGTAGTCGCGAACCAGACCAATATTAAAATAATTTATTCATATAATAGCAGTCTTTACCCCGGAGCTAAGTATCGCCGCGCTCTATTGAGAACAGGACGCCGAATCTTTCGTATAATTCCTTTATTATTATTATTTCCTTTCTAATAATTTTAGGCTTCGAATATCACTGAAGATACTGATACGAAAGATTAATTTCTAATAAGAATGAAGTCAATGTCTGTACAAAAGTGGTTCTCGATTTTCCTTCACCTTAGACCAAGATTATTTAATCATGATCTGCATGCATAATAGGTATCTCCATTACAATCCACATAGCAATGCATGCCATCAATTGATAGCATAATATTTAAACACATCATCAGGAATACCACAGCATTATTGATCATCAGCATTCATGTTCATGCTATCAGCAACTATGGCTTTATTATCTCTACTAGACAAAAATCTGGCAATCAATTTGTCTCACTCAACCAGCAGAAGATCTCTGTATCATATCCTACGGAACATCTTGGCTTTATTTAGGCTAACAGCCAAAGCCCAGAGAGTGTTCTTCATAAGATGAACAGACAATAGCCTCCCTGCAGGTCAAATAAGCAATGGTCATCTCTTTAGTCATATAATATGTGACAGTCCATAGCTGCCAGGATTGTCTCAAGGATCTGCAGTTGAACATATATTGGTATCAGCTGATGCGAAATTGAGGATGAAAAGCATTAACTGCTTCCATCGGAATGATGTATAAAACTAACAATTACCGCCCCAGCCTTCAATGCCAAATTAGCATATAGCATTAAAGGTTGCCCACCAACTCGCAAGCTCATCAAGATCTCAGTTGGCACTAAGGATTGAACCTAGTTAAACCACATGAAATAAGTTAAACATTGCTGATAAAACAATGATTAGAGGCAACATCAACGAGATGTTATATCCATGTAGATGTCAATTTAGCAGTGCATTGGGTTAAGAGCTTTAATGGCTCTCAATGTCAAGTATTTGTAATAGAGAATGGACCAGTTATTGGAAGCCATAGGCCAAACCTTAGCAGCAACCCTGTCTACATCATTAGCAAGCCACTTATAGTGGCTTGCTTCTCATAGACGGATAGGCATTATAACACCTATATTTCTTAAGATCACTAATTCTGCAGAAGAATTCTGCGTACTGCTACTGAAACTCAGTTCTGCAGTGTCAATTGTTGATTGAATGTGACCTAATTAATTTATTGTATAAATTTTCTTGCTGTAATGCCTGTAAGGGTGATAAAAGATAAAACAAAGATACATTTGTGGCCTCTATTCTATGATCCACTTAAAACCACAACATGACCAGGACTCTTTCTTCCAGCTTATCAACCATAAAGATAATGCATTAAGAATGCAAAAAAATACATTATTTATATTTGCTTTTTGTACATGTTATCATTAAGGCCTTGAATAACTTTCACTTAGTATTAAAAATTGATGATTGTATTTAATTTATAGAATAAGATGAATAATATTAATAATGTTAAATAATAAATGAAAATAACAATAAAGTTTGTTTATGTGACAAACCCTAAATCAAATATTTTCTACTTCTTCTTTTTATGATGGCTTGCATTGTGACTTATCACAGCTCCGCCCATGTCAAGTGATCAGTCATTACACATAAGGGGATGACAGTTAGAAATCAGAATTTTGGTGATTATAAAAGCACTTTTACCTATTAAAATCCACCAATACCATGACAACCCAGCTATAAATAAATCTTAGTACTTAATTTCAATGATTGATAAATATTGTTAATTAGAAAAGCATGCTCTCAAACCAAACTTCTATAAGATATACATGATTCAAACTTAAGTATTTATTGTATTTAATACCATCAGGCTGTTTCATGCCAGGAGTGATTGCTCTTAAGAAGTCATCAGGTGTCATATACACTTCAGTGTTATCACCATATGTAAGTTTAACTGTAGCAAAGTATCTGAATATTTTGTCTGGGGTGGAGTAGGCTCGCATACGATTTTCATATTCAATAATCTGTGATAAATCAAAATAAAATAAAACTTAATCCTTCAAAAACAGCGCAAGCACATTCAATCATAAGTAAAAAAACTACATTATTTTAATTACAAACAAACAAGGTATATATAACATAAGAGCATTTCTAATAACACTTGTATTTATAGCCATTTCTTGTAAATCATCATAATTTTAACCAAATGCTTAATAATGTAACAACTTACCTTTCTGTCTCTAAAACCAATCTTTTCTCTCCTGTATCTTTTCTTCTTTGTATCTACTTCACTATCAGAATCAGAGTCAGATATTTCTTCAGCAGCTGTTATTGAAGGAAATACTTGATATCTAATCCTACAATTCAGACATGATTGATAGAAAGATGCAGCTTTCTTTAAAAAACAACGAAATATAAATACAATAGGAACTTACCAAATTTTGTAGGACGAATATGCAGCAGTAGCAAACAAAAGCGAATAACATAGATGCCTGTACGAATATTGGCGAAATTTCTCGTTGTTTTGTTGTTTCTCATTACTGTAATTTCTCCGAACAATTTGATTATTATTTTCTAGCGCAACTCTATACTTTGTCGACTGTGATAAACATGTTAACTTTTGAACAGTATTTATAACTCTAGGTATTTTCAAGACAAATTGAGAGGAGTAATACATTGTTCCTGATTAAGTGAGATGAAAATAGTAATTAATGGACAAATTTATTTTGGTGAAAAACAGGACGAAATGGAAGTCCATGAGAAAAACAATTTTTCGCAGACTTCATTCACAATTTGACATTGACATTATTCTATAGACTAGAGAATGTACAGAATAAAGAGTTCATAGAGAAAGGTAAATGTATCATGGACGTACTATACAAATTAGGGCTGAGTACTTAAAATAAAATAATAATGTAAAAATATCATTGATTTTTAATTGATCTTGTCTTTTACTAAAGTTCATTTTTGTTGCGAAGAGAGTTAATTTATACGGTGTTTGTATGTGAGATAGTCAAACGTCAAACTTCAACTATCTCTCTATTTTTTTTTACTATCTCTCTCGCTCAAAAGTGCCCGATTTTTGGATTGATTCGATCCCAAAATATCGAATTGTGGCTTTTAATTGATTTAAATTCGTTTCTGGAAATCATCAAACATATTTTGACATTTTTTTTCTAACAATTTTTAGACAGTGAGTTTCAAAAGGTGACATTTTATAAAATTATTGAATCAAATAGGTACATTTACAAGCTATAGGATCAAAGGGTGTCATTTGATATGTATTTTTTTTTCAAATTTCAAAACCAGCAAGATTATCTAGAATACATAAGATTTTATACAATAATTGGCACATAAATGGTTAATAAAAAATAATAAAAATTGCTTAGATCGACTTGAATACTTATTTTCTCCATTTACTCAAAAATTTAAAAACTGTAAATGACACTTTTTGTTCCTAAGCTCCTCAAATACAACAGACGTTGTACCTTGTCACAGTAGGACCTCAAAGTGACGACCGGCGGCAAATAGGCGTTTCAATTAGGTAACTTCATAATGTTGCCGTTATTAGTTCAGGCAAATATAATATTGTCTCTTTTCGCGTGGAGTATTGTAGGTTATTTAAAATGAGATGGCTACAAATTTATGAGACGAATGTCGATATCAATCATACTTGAATAATAGTTTGTTCATTTAAACCACTATGGCAAATGGTTTAGGTACTCAGAGCCTTTTACACAATACTAATTTATGGAAATGACAACTGCTGCAATGTTCCAATAGTAACTGTCACTGTCGTGGAACCTTTTCTTGTAAATGCAGGTCGCATACTTTAATTTGAATTTAGTTTGACATGTTAGAAATACATATATAAAAAAAATTGTTTGTCAATTATTGTGTCATGTTATTTTTAGACTGAAGTAAGTTTTTGTAAATTTGTGTTTTTATAATTTCTATAGAGCGTACAGAAATTATAAAAACACAAATTTACTAAACTTGCAAGCGTTTACTTTAACTACATAGAGAAGTTCGGGGCAAGTCATAGCGCTGGTTTCTATCCACGAACAGTCACATTAGAATACTGTAGTAAGTTTTGTTTTATGAAACAACGAATTCTACAGAATTGAAGCTCCTACAGAATAACGCAGTATTATTTTTCAAAAATACTGTAGTGAAAAATAAACTTTATGAAAAACAATTCAACCGCAATAGACTACCATTGTAAATCACTGTATTAAAAACAGAGAATAATATTCTCCACTCTTCATATTGAACGGAAATACACTTTCTATTAATCGATTAAAACCGATTTATCATATTGGTATGAAGATCAGACTATCTACGTTCAGATTAGATCGGGCATTTCCAATCAGACTTCCCCAAGACTTCTCTCTCTCTTTTTATCACAGATCAAGTATTAGTCCCATAATACAATAAGTGTTATTCCCATACAAATACTACTCTTTGGTATTAGTTATACGGTTACTACTCCCTTCTCTCTGTAATCTATGATTTGAACGTGAAAGCATGCATGTTCGTTGAATTTTTGTGGAACAGGAATATCCATCAAAATTGACGGCGCTAGCGGAGATTACATTAAAATAGTGTCAAAGGTAAATATCGTAAATTGATAAAATAAAATTGAAAAAAATTACACCGTCGAGGGGCTTTTACTACTAATTAATATAAGCGAAGTGCAGTGATAGCAGTTGGTTGCTCTAGTACTATATTGAAAAGATCGAGTTATATAACCTTGAATCACGGGACTTTATTATTGATCAGTTAAAATATTTTGTTAAATCTAGTGCAGTGAAGTATTTCTTATCAGGTAAGTAAAGCTTACAGTATAATTTCTATCATTAAAATATAAAACTAAAAAAGTATTGCTGTATCAAAGAGGCCATGTACTAATTAAATAAAATCTATACAGTCTTAAACTTGCGCTACAAAAATGATACATCATACTTAATTTTTATATTTGGGTAGTCACACTACTACTTAAAATTCATCCACTTTTCTCCTTACTTACACACTCACAAATCAACTATACTTTTTACCTTTCTAAATGTAAATTTTATTTTGATACCTACAGTGACAGCTGTGAAGGGTTGTCCTTGATCATCAAAATTAGAAATATGCATAAAGAAGTTTTGATGTCTAGAAAGTTTGCTGAAAATTAATTCGGAGCATTTGATGTGACTTACAATTGTTCAAAAATGGTTACTTCTATGTCCCATGTCAAAATACCTTAGATATTATTGCTTTGCTTTGATGCAATTTTAATGATTTGGTGCATTACTGATTTTTATCAAATCAGTAATGCAGTGTATCACTGAAACAATTTAAGTATTCAGTTTCTGTTAATTTTGATTCTGACATGATTCTAAACTTAAAACTTCCTTTTCACTAGACACTTACACTTTTCATCTAATTTTGTATAGTGAATGACAACAATACACTGTTTTTAAATTTAAGTTTAGGTTTAGAGAATCATACCAGAATCGACACCATTTTTTCTATATTATCATATACTTCTAACAAAAATGTTTCGTCAATTCTAAAAAAATATAAAAAAAAACATATCTATCTACACATTCTTATTCTCAATGCCATGGTCTTCTGATAATGTAATCACTTTACCAAGCATTTGGCGTTAATCCAATATCATTTAGAAAGGGAATCTATTTTTGTTAGATGGGACTATGACTTACATTAATAAATAGGGCAGTTCATGGTCATTAGCTGGTCTAAATCTTATTCTGCTAGATTGACTCTAATCATCTACTTTCTAATATGATTGTTGCTGTTCCAAGTGGACTTACGTAAAAAAAACTGAGTGTTGTTAAGCAGAAAGCGACCAGGGCAGTTTTGAAGCAAGAGAAAATGTATTTACGAACCCATGTTAAAGTTTGATTTTGTTTGATCTCAAAAATAACTTCTGCTTTTACAATCATACTGAAACATTGGTCCACAGAACTCATTTTTACTAGCTTTATGCATGATGCTCAACTGTTCAATACATCATGATGACACAGTGGATGATTAGTGGGCATGATTTACAATCAAAATCATAAACATTTATTTAGTCAAGGCTGTAGCAAGCATTTGTGAAGTTCAAAAAGCTACACCATTGGTTCATCCCTCACTAAAGGATAAATGTGTTATAGGTTGTCAACAGGATTGGATACTAACATCCATATTGAAGTTCAGCCCTACAGAATAAAGAAAATCTTGGTTTTTTTTATTCGCATTTTATATAAAAAGAAATTGTACTGAAATGTTAACATTTAAATTTAAAAAAATAAAAACTTTTCTGCAAGCCTTGCAATGTGATTTTTCTAAAGCAGTAGCATTTGTAAGTCATTCTTAAGCAGAAAAGTCAGAAATAATTTGTGTCATTTTTTGTCCATAGATCTGACACTTCATTAGGGGCCATAAACAACATCCACCATCAAAATGCATCGAGCGAGAGTAGTATTTCAGGCAACCAGTAAAGTTGGCAATTCTGAAAGATTTGCATCATGGCTTTTAAAAAAACCACAGGTTAGTGAAGAAAATGTGATTGTTATCATTATTTTTTATAATTATGTGTTTATCATTTTCAATAATCAGTATAAAAGGATGGTTATAAATTTTAAGTAAGTAAATGTATTTGTTTTCCTTCATAAGTAGTGCAAAGATAAATATTTATTGTAAGTTCACATGAGTCCCAATAATGGTTTAATTGTTTTCATACAGAATGCTGCTGTGACAGTAAACACCAATAGGTGGAAAAGTTCAACAGCAGCAGAGCCATTCCTCAATGGATCCAGTTCAGCATATGTGGAGACCATGTATAATTCATGGCTCACCGATCCCAACTCAGTGCATGCGGTAAGTTATTACTGTAAATGCTTTAATTCAACTTATGGCACACTTTTACTTGTTATAATATGGCTGATTTATTATATTATTGTATTGTGTCATCCATATTTATCATCATGCAAGCAGGTGCCCCCGACTTTGTTTAAGTTTTTTAATTGATTTCCCATACAAAATGTTATCCCCATTTTACCCCCTTTAAAATTTTATTTTCACAACAAAAAGCAGCATATAACCTTCTCCTGGTACTGGACTATATACAAAAATTCAGCCTAATCAGTTGGTTTAGGCATGAAAGCTTAACAACAAACAACCAAGCTCATTCATAATCATATTTTTTCTGTAATTTACATTTTTAATTCTGTAAATCTTAACTTGTAATGGTTCATCACATTGTTCATTTATTATAACCAATTTTCCCCTAAGTTGCGAATAAAAGCAATAGAAATAAGTAGTATTATGCACCTGTGCTACTACTCAACATGTATAAAACCGACCATATTATTTATCTCTTTTTGATAATAGACTAGACTTGTAGAGTAGAGATGAATAAAAACGTCATTCAAGTCTGGCGAGACGAGAGCTTTATATTTTATAATGGTTGTCATTCTCCACTCAGTCATGGGTATAATTTTCGCCTTTATTGTGACGAAAACCAACTAGACATAGTGTTGAGCGGGGTTTTTGGTCACCTTGTTAGGTATTGCAGTGTTGCCCCTTAGAATAATCTTTAGTTTTATTATTAAGCTGAATACATTGTTTGTTTCTTTGATGGTTTGTTTATTCGGTTGAACGCACTAATCTCAGGAACTACTGGTACGATTTGAAAAAAGGGTGACACTATAACATTTTCTGTCGAATTAATGCGGATGAAACAGCAGGGCACCTCTGGTAGTTTTCATAAGTGTGTGAATTTAAATTATTATTCTATGGTTGGCCCAAACATTGGACACAGATTTTCGTAGTGTAGATTTTTAATGCAGATGATAGGCACAAAATTTATGGCTTGCGCATCCAAACTTACATATATTGTGACCCCAATTTGCGCCACGCGAAAGGTCTGTGTGATTGAGATTATTCCCAACTAAGTAGTGTAAAAATGACACACATTTCTTTCCCTTGAGCTCTTGATATTCTTGAGACGCAAATAAAAGAAATATTACCCTTCTATTGAGAAATAGTACAATGGTGTTGATTATGGCATTAGCATCCTAACCCATACCTAAATTAGACAACAGTGTATCCTTGTGTTTTGAAAAGGAGAGACTGATGTTTTATGACTAAAATATCTAGCAGTCAAATGCTTGAAATATATTATAATAATACATTGCATCCCGCGTCCCAAACCGACCATCTGTCTCAGCTCTCCACCTGGTAGATCAGTTAGGAATATTCTGCTACTGTAAACCACAGTTTTTTTTGTAGGATGATACTAATTTCGCGGACTTTACTCACAGCGGATTTTTTGAAGGGCACCAAATGACTAAATCAGTTACTTATCTATACTTATAATAAATCTGTAGAGAGGTCAATTCTGTACATGAAATATATTTTCAAAATAACTATCAGGGGGTGATTAGTGATCGATACTGATGCCAAAAATGCAATCAGTAAAATTTTTGTCTGTCTGTCTGTGTGTATGTTCCTTATAGAAACAAAAACTACTCGACGGATTTTAACGAAACTTGGTACAATTATTCTTCATACTCCTGGGCAGGTTATAGTATACTTTTCATCACGCTACAATCAACAGCAGCAGAGTAGTGAAGGGAAATGTTGGGAAAACGGGAGAGGTTACTCCATTTTTTAAGCTTCCGTTGCGTGTGCAGCCTTAATGGTTAACGTTACATAGAAATCATGTATGACAAAAATATTCTACATAAAATTTTCTAAAAAATATCCCGCAACAGCATATGTCTATCTTTTATGGTTGACTCACAATAACACGTGTAATTATATAAATAAAGTCATTGTTTATAGCACAAGTCTGAGAACAAAAACTATAGTTTACACTACAGCTCTACACCGAAGCGAAGCGAGGGCGGGCCACTAGTGCTAAATAAAATGTGAGAAGAAATTACGTCACACGTAATTATAAATATTATAGTCACTGATTAAATTAATGACTGAAGCATTTTTACCATAACATTAAGGCACTCTTAAATTTTAATTTAAACTGTGCTATCTCTTCTGACATTTACCAAGCTTAGCCTTGACATAGAAACATTCGGACAGTTTTAAGGTCGCTATTCTGTTTGCTTCAATGCTGGTTTAAAAAGACAGTTTGGATCCTGGGGTAGACTGCTGGCCAATCAATAAGTTATAATAATTTATTCTGTGATATGTTACTTGTGAGATTATTATATTGTAAGTATCGTAAACGGTTGCCCTCTTTCTTCTGGTATATTATCACTTGAATCGCAATAATGTTTTATCTTGTTTATTTGACACGTGACTGCGAGAGAATTAAGCCGTTTTTTTTGTATGAAGCTATATTGTTTTGAACAGCCTTTGGTAATGTAAGGCCAAGTATGTAGTTCACAATATACTTAGATATATCCCGCTACCAAATTTATCTGAAACAGGCTTAGTAATTGGGTCTCTTTATCATCCTTCCGAAACTTGTATCTGAAATGATCAAACTATTATTATTGAGAGAAAAATTATAAAAGTAATCCCCTTCCCCTTTATTAAATAATAAAGATTACCAAAAGTCAATTTAGTCTAACAATTCATTCTCTGAAATGTCCGTTTAGCATCAATTCCGAGCACATCCGAATTTAAATTATATTTATCAGTTAGAAGTCCGTTATTGACGTGTATAATGTATTGAAGTTAAGCAAAAAAGTTAATTATTCTAATATTTCTTATGACACATGATGTTCGTAGCACGTCCGTAAAAAAGAATGACTTGTAACGATGATTCACCTAAAGATCGTATCAAGAGCGAGTACCGAAGTGTCACGTAAAAACCAACAATTTATTTTTATCAGACTCCTTTTCCTAAACTAAACACCTACGTTTATCTTAGTTACATCTTGATGAATTGGAAAAATCAATTGGTACTTTCGAATGCGAGACGGCAAAAGCTCCCGAAGTCGATTATCTTACTTTCTTTAGCTTGACACCGGTCTCAATGTAGGTGGCTAAATTTTACCCCATAACTATTTGCATGTTGTGGGTAACATATCTTCTCTAATAAATTATACCAGAGCTATTACTTAAAAAAAAAAAATACCTCGATATATTGATAAGTGTAGGTCAGTTGTGGTTGTAAAGTTACTAGATGAGACAAAAAAACTCTTTACTCCTAATAGAAACATAATACCACCAAAAGGTATCTTACTCTTGGTTAATACGAGCAGAAAAGCCGTCATTGCTTTTATTTTGACCTGAAAACTCTTTGTTTCTGTTATGGAGTCCGTAAGAGCGATCTATTAGAAGTTGAGTGGCGTTACACTGTCGTATATTTGTTAAAGCAATTTAAATTTCTATACGTCATTTACACATTTTTCTTTTTATACATTGATTCATTGATAAGTTGGTTACCTACGACTTCTTTATAAATTTATTTTAGACCCTAATGATCTTGTTGTTGTCATTATAGAAAAATTTTTGAATTTACTGTGGGGATACATGACGAAACTAATTGTCATATGCGTGCAAGGCCAATTGGCAGAAATTTCCTAACAATAACCGGTTATCACTCTAAACTGTTGTTCAATTATGACCGCTTATCATGAGCTCACTGCACTTTGTATTTGGGTATATGATGTGAATAATAAATACACTATTTGCCTGCTGTGAACTCGGATCCCATTCAAAACATCGGGAAAAGAAGTTTTGCAAATTTCGAATGGTTCTTACACTTTATACCTCATTTTGAACATTTATGCCACTCTTATTTAATAAAGTACGGACAGCAGCACATCGGTTTTTACAATATGTGAAAACTCGGCAATTAACTATGGACTCCAATAAATTATACATAGTTAAAAATCTTTAGAATTTGGACACTCAGGTAGAGTTTAGAGCTGCTGCGTGTACGCTGAAACTTATGTGGGTACATTTTATATTTATTCATTACATAATCAAAACATTACTGAGATATATTGATTTGAAAGGTCGCCTTACGTCTCGTCTTCGTACATTCCTCACTCCCAAACTTTGACGCGCTTTATCTTTGTAATTTTTTGGTTGATTGACAAAAGAAAAGATGAAGATAATATTTGATAATGTAACTGACGACAGAAAAAAATAAATTCGTTTACGTTACCCCGTCATCATCCCTATTGTGTTAAATATAAGTCATTTTTATAGCATAAAGAACTTTGCTACTTCGGATCTTTTGTTCCAGTCGTGGGACGCATTCTTCCGTAACGCGACCGCTGGTGCTCAACCGGGTGCCGCATACACATCACCACCCAACCTCGCGCCGTACAACAAAAACGAAGTTCCACTCACAGCTCTCGTACCAGCCTCCGGTGGCTTTCCTTCCATTTCCTCAGGTTTGATGTAACTTAAATGCAGAGCACATAATCAGCGTTCGTCTTTATCAAATGAAATTTTTGCTCAAAAAGGTATCTTTTGTAGACGTTAAAATGTTTAAGAGAACTAATTTCGTATTCGAATTAATTAGAATTCTGCCTTATTTAAATAAATATGTTCTTATTCTGAGGGCCGTAAAGGTTAAGTCTTAATTTTCACAGGATCACCTATTAACGAGAAGATAATCGACGATCACCTCGCGGTACAGGCTATCATCAGAAGTTATCAGGTGAATAATATTCCAATTGTTGACACATTGAACACTACACAATATTTGTGACATAATTTGTTCGTTATTGTTTGCACATTTTATTTAGTCTCCCACTTGTGCTATAGTTAAATCCCTTTATGAAGCCCCCATTCGCCACCTAAGTAATAATTCCAATCATGCTAATTGCACTGAGCGATAGCTAATTATTGTACATATACCAACATAATGACATGCACATAGAAACGGGAAAATTTATAATTATTTTTGTAGATCTTAGTAAACAGACACTGTGGATAATCAATGTTATTGAAATGGGTTAGTTAGAATATATAATTTTCGATTAGTTCTTAACGGTTAAGATCGGCGTCTATAATAAAATTGGATAAACAAAACAATGAATTGGCGAGATTTTACAATTGGTGTCCAAATTCGATATCACGACCTGGCGACAGTTTTCATTTATCTACAAAATAGTGTATCATTACGATATTGCGCAATTTTAATATTTGTTGGGCGCCACTTTTGCTACCACGTTGGGGCGCCAATATTCGATTGGTACGTATAACGCGGCGTGAGTCGTCAAGTCGTGGTTATGAGGTTTGGGCTAAAGTGATGTTGTGGTGGGGACTGCCTGACAGGCTCGCGGTCACCTGGCGGCCGATGTGGACCCGCTCGGCATCACGACGGCCAACCTGCCCGAACTGGGCATGCGCGCACCAAGCTCCGAGCTCATCATGAGGAAATATTTCAGTTTCGGTATGCTGCAACCAAATGAGACGAGTCAATTATAACAATTTGGAAGCAATCACTTTCGTTAACGATCATGCCGTTGAGTTGATTTATAATTAATACTTACATGATTTGTTAATTTTGTTTTGCGTGTCACTAATTGTTGTTGTCGCAGCGATATAATGACATACATATGTACTTACATACAATAAATGAATAGAACAATCACGATTCTTAAAAATTAAATATATTAAAAACATTAAAGCAGTGATTGTTTTCAAAAATATTCATAAATCTACATCAGTCTTAATACACTTCCTGTTTTGACTACGAATGCAATTACAATGTCTTGTTGATTGCATTACATTTGATTAAAATATCTTACTGTAATTTAATGTTGAATGTGAAAGAACTGATTAGAGTATGTATATGCATGTGTATGCGGTACTTCGCTGTTTATCGATATCTAGTTAAAGTACTTAATTTGTTTGCAGTAGCATTTTATAATTTTGTCTAAAATCGTTTATTTAGCAAACATAATTTAACATCAATTTTAAAACATCTTTTCATTTAGTTAGCCCGCCATTCTAAAATGTAAAACGTTTTATTAACAAAGCGTTGAATGTTCCGAATGTTTTCTTTCTCTCGCATTTTCTTCTTTTACTAACCTAGGACCGATTTCGAAGAATGGCTAGTCTCAAATTAAGAGCACACAAAAAAATCCTTTCTTTTCAAAAGTATGATAACAATCACACGTCCATAAAAGCCATGTTATCATGTTCTGCTTGAATTTGCAATTTTATTGTTAAATTATCATTATTATTTTTATTTTAATACGGCGGCGAAAGTAAATTCATTTCATTAACGTTTGTACCTCAGTATTAATGGGGGGTGGGAGATTTCTCGCTTCTGGCTTTTGCATTTATTTATGAATACTAGTGTAAGTAGCCTTTATTTGAGAGCTATTAAGTACTGAAACCTTTGAAAGTGCTTATGTTTTCCTTGATCGCGGAGCAGCGGCCTCGTTCTCGATACATAACGAATCTTAAACGACAACGTTGGTCGATCTAAGCGACGTTTATGACGGTGGGCATGTTTTCACGTATGTAGTCGCGGGGTCACCTCGTGGCGCAGCTAGACCCCTTGGGCATCACCACCGGCGACCCGACCTCGAGTGGCGACTGGCACGGCGGATTACGCGCCTTCGCTAACGAAGCTGTCATTAGGCAGCATGTTCGATTCGGTATGATGCATTCCACAGTCCCTTTATAATATTGCAAATGAGACGAGGGAATGTCAACTGGTATTGCATTGCGTTTGCGTAAACGTACAAGGATTAGTCTCCTAACGCTCAATTTACAAAAGGGCAGACGATTGTTAATCACCCATAGCTCCATAGTTCGATAGCACAAAAAGCAGCAGCAGGGCTTTACAAATTTTGTCTTCATTGCAAAATAAGATAATTATAACATAATGAATGTATTCCGAAATATACATCAGTATACTGGGCAGTGGTAATGTCGTCACGAATCCGACGCCATATTGTATTGGTGCTAACCATACAATGCTACCATATTTTTGCCGGGAAAACGGATATGACGTATGACCGAGTGGAGCGGACGTGAGATACATTCGAATTATATTTCTTTTTTTTTAAAGAACATTAATGGTATCCGAACAAAAAGAATTCCTTTTAATAAAAAGTGAATAAAAAATCTTCTTTATTCGCACTATTTTTAATATTTCGTCGATTTATGACGTCAGTGCACTGGCCAATATATTTTGGAACAATTCCACAGTATAGCGTCGATTCATGACGTCATTAGCACTGGCCAGTATACTGGTATATATTACGGAATACACCCAATATAAGTTGCAATCGTAATGAGAATGTTATGCAACACGTATACATATTTTTGTGAATTGGGCTTTAAAAGAATGGGGTATAATTTTAGGAAATGTGTGCTAGATAAGATAATGATTGATACGGCTATCTGCCCAGACTGCTCAATCATCGATGCATGATGAAAAGAGTATTATTAGCTTATCGTAATATTAAATGTGAATGTGATCAAGATAAGGGTAGGCGTTGTTTCGCAATCCAGTTAACATTTTGGTGAAATTTCAAATAGCAATAGTAAACGTCGAATCGGGTTAGGGTTCAAGCTTTTTCTTTCTCACGCAATGTGAGCACCGGCTCCACGTGATTGAACAGTTTCTCATATCGTTTCTTTCGATTTGAGGGCGTAAACTTCGCTTTTAGTTTTGGTGCTTGGTATGTAGTTAGTGGTTATTTAGACTTTTGACACGCTCAGTACTGGTGCTTGGGTCGGAAATTTCGTATCATATTTTCATGTATATAATTTTAATTGTTATATTGAAGTACCCACACAAGTATACATGGTAGATTATACACACTTTTCAATTGGCAAAAATGATTGAGACTAGCTTTTTGGAAATATGTTCGGTCGAAATACTTCTTCATAATTGAAACAAACTAATCATAACGATTAACAACTTTTTTCTACTTATCATAAATAATTTTTAATGTAGCAGATTATTGTAAGATGCTGATATTGTGACTAACGCTATCATATTCCTTTACTAGATTTACCAATGTTAAAATGTTGATAACGTCCCCAACGTATTTACTTACTTAACATTATTCCAAATGTCCTACACACTCATAGCAATATTTTATATCACTCACCTTAGCAGGTATTTATATTGAATTATTTGTCTACATCACCACCTATGAAGCGGCTTCCAAAAGAAGGATTAAGTTGTAAAACCTATCTTATAACCATTATATAAAAATACGTGATGATATTGATAATTCTACCTAAACGAATTGTATGTTGATACTTTCGAGCATGATCATTTTATTTATTATGAATGTTCTCTTACTGTGATACTTAGACAGAGTGTGACCGATAGATTAAAGTGATTAGGTGCGCTTGCATATGAGTGAAAATAAATGGAGTTAAGATAAAGGATATTTAAATATTTAGTACTTATTATGATTTTGTATCTCTTGCGTATGAAGAAAACAATTCTGCCCTCATCGTCTTTTATTTTAAAAATTGTCCTGCTCATACTTTCGTTTTAATTCTACTAATTTGTCGAAACAGTTTTGCTCAACACACACACACACACAATTAAACAGTCTGATTGCTGCTTAAATTATTAATTAATTTAATTATGTTTTATTTGAGCTTCTTATTTAAACACACTACAACTAACTACAGTATAGTAACGGCAGAATGTTGCGCATACTTAACCAGTATATTGTGTGAACTAAAAACAGATCCGAGGACACCATATAGCGAAACTCGACCCGTTGGATATAGCAAACCATTTGGCCGGTAAAAATCCCCGGGAGGTGATACACAACAGCTACAGGTTTGGTAAGAAGACAGAACCTGAATGCGCACCCTGGCCGCTAGGTGTCCTCTGGTAGTTATGGCGGCGCAGTGACATGACACTTGTACCCGGCCGTAGATTACAATTTAGTTGTTAATTTGAAAATAGAATCAGTTGTGTTTTAACGATCCGTTACCTGGTCTGCGGATTTTGTTCGTTCTTCATATACATTTACAATGCACATTGAACGAAAACGGTATGAAAAGCTTCAAGTTCTTTACATTCAGTAAAAGTGGCACCTAGAACTAAATATTTATTCTTCATGCAGTGACTACACCAACAACTAGTTAGTTTTCCTTGGCCTTCTGCCCATTTCGTTCTTCACAAATCTTTGTAAACTGAACAATTAGCCATTCGTCGCGCGTAGTTGCAATACGTTATGTTTCAATTGTAAAATGCTCACGCAATAGACGTCAATGAAATTGACGTAAGTAGTAATTTCTCAGTTGCATTTTCGATTTCTGTAATGATATAATTATGTAGGTCTTCAATTTAGAAACTCAGAATTTTTTTCTCTTAAACTTGTTGGAAGTCAAAAACAATTGTGCTGGGTACACGTAGTAGTGATATTTACTTTATGAACAGATATCAGTAGTTCCAACTATAAATGCTTAAATTGAAAGGTAGCGGAGCCAAAACTTAAAACGTATGAGACATTATATTTGACCTAACACATTATTGTGTTACATAAACATAACTGACGTACTATTTACTCTTGTTGATTTGAAAATATAAAAATACACGGGTTGTGTTTCTTTTTTATGTTTTGCAGTTTTCTTTATGATTTCTGTTCGTAAATTGTAGGTGCAACTGAACGCCATAACTACGTAACATAGTATATTTTATATTTATCCTGTGTTTGTAACGCACGGCGGGTTTTTCTTGGCAAGACGCTCATCACAAATATGTCTGGGTTTAGTTCACCTCCACCATAGCAAAAAACACTGTCCTCTTATATATTCACAATGTTGCATGCAATTTTTATTTCTTTCCTTATTATCATTGATTCTGATATATTATGGTGTTGTTATTCTAGGGTCGTAAAGTTATTTTATATACTTAGGTAATTGGCTGTTTTATTACTTGCATGTATGCATGAGTATTGTGCTTTATCGGAAGCTATATAATTATTATATTTGCATTGTGTGATAGTATTAGTTGATATATAAGACAAGGACAATTGATTATTCGACGTAGAAGAGAACTTTCATCAGTCACGTGTATTCACCTTATGTTCGGCGTTGGACCAAGTCCAGCGAATCGCTTTTCCACTATTACTCAACTGTACATTTTGCTAGGACTTTGAACTCAAACATAAAGTAATAGAACCCAAAATCACAGAGCTTGGTATCACAAAGGGCTGTACCACATATCCATAGTTCCCATAAAGTTTTCGACGTATGCTAGTAAAGGTATATGACATTGATAACAAAAGAAAAACGCTTTTATATATGTGCTTTCTAAGGGTCTTTTAATTGGTTAATTATTTCTGCACGTTCATTTTGAAATGTAACCCTCATCGAAATTTAAAAAATTGAAGTCAACTGAAATTTTGAAGTACAAAGTTCCTTTAAATTTTCTTAGAAATTTGCTTTCCCTATAAAGTGATAAAGTTGGTGGTTACATTTATAGTTCTTCACTTGTAGCATGAATCAATCTTTAAGTGAAATATATAGCATTCTGAACGTTAATGCTCTCATGAAAACATTACATTTTTAGATGAAGCCGATATGGACAGGGTATTTAAATTGCCTTCTACAACGTTCATCGGTGAAAAGGAAAAAGCCTTGCCGTTGAGGTAACATATTTCATTATATTTTTTGTTCAAACATTTTAGACACGTGTGAGTTTAGAAGTTTACGATTTAATGAATCAAATGTCGCCGTATGCGCATTACTAATAGACAGAATTATCCTTAAGCTCGGTTCCTTAAATGAATTTTAAAATAATGCACCTAAGGTATAAAATACTTGATTAGTGAATTGCGCACGATTTTTGCCGACTTTCCTGTTTACTAACTTAATCTTAGCTGGTTGAATATTAGCGACCAGTTTCCAAGAAAACTTTTTATGAAGTTTTTTTTGTTATTTTTGTTTAGAGAAATCCTGAACCGCCTTGAAGAGGCTTACTGCAACAACATCGGTATCGAGTTTATGTTCATCAATTCACTGGAACAATGCAATTGGATCAGGCAGCGTATGGAGCCGCCCAACGTGACGAAAATGAGTAACGACCAAAAGAGGTTGATACTCGCCCGTCTCACCAGATCTACCGGGTAAGATTTAAGATAAACCTAATGTCAAAATAGAAAGTAGCCATTCGAAAATAATGAATAACTAAGTTTATCGCTCTTTATTTTCGCAACACGTGTCACTAGATGCGAACGAATTCTACTTAAAACTGCGTGAACGTAACGTCAATGTATGCGTGCGACAAATGACGTTTTGTTTTAAGCCGCTTGGTCACAGTGGTTACGCTCTTTGTGATATAATAATCATATGAAACTGTAAATATGTACTATTATTTAGTATGGTACAATTGATTAGTCGTCAATGGCAACTGAGGTTATCAAAAAGTATTAATATATTATAATACATTTTTAGCTTTATGTTAACCACGCTAAGGCTGAAAGTCGAATTAAATTTTACTGAATATGTTCCAGGGGTGCGGCTAGTTGATGAAATCAAAAAAATATGTCACTGATCTCGCACTTAGTCTGTGTTCTACAATCCACCTTTAAGTATTTTAAATATCCGAAAGCTATTTTATTTTATTTTCTTTATAGTCTGCTTGTTGACGAAACTGCTTAAATAGCAGTTTCGTAAGGGGTACATAGGTTCATAAGATTAAATTTTGTCTAGGAATGAATAAAATATTTTTAGCATGATACTTTAAGCTACGGAGACGTTTTGCTTACAAAAAGTTGTAAACTCAAACAGGCTAATACTAGAAGGTTATGTCTATTGTTTAGTTGTTTATCTCGAACAATCTGTTCTAAAATTAATTGCGCAGTAGGTAAACAATAATTCAATGGAATTTTTGACATAATTTTTTACTTGATGCAATCTTTAGCTAGCTTTCTACTTGAATAGAATGTAAGAAAAGAACAATGAATGGGTTATCTAATCGAATCATATGAATGAATTCAATAAAATTAAATGTTATATTATTCTCTCGAATTATCTTACTTTATCAGCGGTGTATCTATTGTAGATAAATTTATAACTACGCGTATTGAACAAGTGAACAAATCAATGAAAACCAATAAACAAATGGCACTAGACATGTTTATTTTCTGTCATATACAGAGTCGGTAGTCATTTCGGACCGGGATCGGTGGTCCTGATGGGTACATGGAATTAATCGTATAAAACATCTTTTTCTTATTATGTTTCAACACTTTGTTTTAAGTAAACCCCCTAGTAATAACAATGGCATTTACAAAGACGCGAATCAATTATATGAAGTACCTATATAGCTTTATTGTTTGTAAATTTATGCTGTACTTGAGAACAACTTAATATGAGAGAGGTCAATGATATACATTATTAAACAATATCGATAATATTGCATGTAATCTCGAAGATGATCTGCCATATCACTAGTTTTATTGAAATCCGTAACAACGTTACTATTATTATGTACCATTGAAACTGGAGATCGATCTCATTAATAGTAGATCGGTTTTCTATTTTGGGCGGACCGTTTTAGGGTCGGTATTCACTAAACGGAAATAATCTTCGTGCACTTTTATGAAGTAATTTAAATAGGGTTAGTTGCAGTATTTTCCCTTCCCTTTAAGTATAAAATTGGGTGCCTTCGCATGCTTGAGCTCAGTCATCTGAGTAGTCGCTTTATGTCTGCATTTAATTTTATTCCTAAGTTAAGACCCAGCCGCTTTGCTTCGATGCAAATTATAATAGTTTTGCTCCCGGAGATTGTATATAATTGATGGGGAAAATCCGCTCTGTAGTTGTTGAGATATCGCAAACATACAGAATTGTTGATCCGGTGGAATTTGTTTATTAATATGTAGTCATGGCCATATCAATCCATTCTTCGGCGATTTCTTAAAGTACTTTTGAAGATTTCCGCTTGGTGTAGATTGAACCATTTTTAACAAACGACGGAAAACAACTGCAAACATTTCTAGCCTTACTTATTCAGCATTAGGCAGTTCAAAGACAAAATATCTTTATTCTAATTGGGTGCAGAACACAACTGTTAAGAATCGTTTAAAAGTTTTGAAAGTCAAACAAAACGTACGAATCATACCAGTATTATCCTAATCATTTTCAAATCGTCGGAATAGTGACAAAGCACGGATATACAATTCAGAAGCGTTTTCAACCGATTGCGAATGAAGTGGAATGGTATAAATTGAAATCGACATTCAAATTCGAAAGTGATCCATTCAGTTAACAATAACTAATGAAATAAGTCATTGACTTTAGTCGTTACTAGAGTATTATGAACGAACGTGCAACACTTGTTGACATTGACATTGGTGGGTCATATGACCATTCGCTTAGTGGAAGTAATTTGCAGTCGTGAAGGTCGCCTGTTGAACGGTAATTTTAAGCCATTTTTTTGGTTCCGTTTCCACTTAAAATTGTAGTAAGGAGGCTTAACTTCATATCTGTTTGATTTTTATACTTAATACGTATTTTTTTTAAACACTTAGTGTAGAAATCATGACTCTTTAATATGATCGGGTTAATATGAACAAATTTAATCTTCGGTTTTAGACTTCAGTCAGACGAAAGGGGAAGGAGTTATCAAAACACTTCTTTAAGAAATGCATCTGAGCCAATTATTGATGTGATAAGCCTCATTTACACTTTTTTCTCTGAAATAGTTTAATTAATAAATCAAAGTACAACAATAATGAATTCTACAGATAAATTGATAAAAAAAGCAAATGAAGTTCGATTTGATACACAACTAATTACTGAATCATTGTTTATTTACTTTTCCCAGACATAAACATATTGCTAATACTTAATCTTTTACATTGATCAAGAAGAATAACAAAGTTCTAGAACAATAAATTACAGGAGTTATATACTAAAATGAGTACACAAGTACTCATAACTTAAAGTAAAATTTAAGATTTTTTTTCTATAGTCAAGAATACCTAAAATGCCACTAGGTCTGGAGTTTCATGTGTCGATGTGTTCGAGATCGTATATAAACCAATTTCCTCAATATTTTTCTTTGAAAACGTGGTGGTGCAACCGAGATTTTTTCTAATTTTTAAGACTAGGTACTTGGCTAATCATTTATCTTGGCTGGTCTGACGTAAACTATTTGGCTGCGCATCAGATTTGATATTAACATAATTGTCTACCTAACGGCTAACTTAAAACCGCCTGATTGTACTCGGCTAGAGATTAGATCAATATGCGAGCTGTGTTTGCATACTTTGATCTGTTCACAAGCTAAGGTGTTGCTAATTTTTCTGATAGATTCGAGAATTTCTTGGCGAAGAAATGGTCATCGGAGAAGCGTTTCGGTCTGGAAGGATGCGAGATCTTGATCCCAGCGATGAAGCAAGTCATCGATGTGTCCACCAAACTCGGAGTCGAGTCCATCATCATGGGCATGCCTCACAGAGGTAATTACCGACATATATTTTTTCTATTTCGAATCAGTAGCAAACAACCCTTCCAATGGTAAGCCAACGTTTTTCCTACAGATCAGTGATTTTCAAAGTGATTTTGATGGACATCCTTGGTTCCCAGCCGCACCCTAAATCTCATTGTTAAATCGTTTTTTTACGAATTTTGGTAAAATGGTAGAAATGAAACGTACGAGAACCAAAATTTTAGGTACCTCTGACTATACCCCGCCCGCATCTTCAGTTACTTCGTGAGCATGGCGCAACAGTGCCGAAATATCGGGGACTCGCAAAAAACAAGGTACATGGTAGCAATTCCGCTAATAAAAAAAAAACATTATAATGTTACAGAATATAAAGACAATGTTGCTACTTGTGAAATTGTATTTCAAACAAACAATAATTGTATACTGTTATCATTCAGTAAGTCGTTAATCGTCTAACACGGTCAATAACTGACTAGAACAAGGTTGCACGCTACGCTATGAATGACAAAAAATGTTCAAAGTACAGAGTTCAAAGCAATGTTTTCATGCGCTGAGAATTTATTTATTTTTCACTGATAAAAAACGCAATGATAGTATTAATTAGGTATACATTTTTTAAACCGCCAAAAAAATTTGAGACGAATACTGTGTCATGTTGTTATTTTTGTATCTTCAATATCACGTTTAATATAAAGAGATAAAACAATCAAATTCTTTTATATCATTCATACTTATTTCGCTTTCTCCTCGTATCCAATCTTAACAATGAAATGTGTCAATCATTATTTACTAAATGTTTATGGCAATAATTTAACTTCTTTAGTTAACATTCCATTCCACAAGGTAACATTGGCTTAACAGTCTATAAAGATTTTGCGATTAAAATCGATGACAGAAATTTGAAAGTTTCATTTCCTTAAGTGTAGATGTTTATTGAGCAAAGTGAGTGGAATATTACCAAATACATGATATTGTGTAAGAGTTAATTCTGCTTCTTCTTATTTTTGTAAAATTGGCGGTGCACTTTTGTTGATTTCGCCAGACTCGAGTGATTCGGCTTCGAATGTTAATTATTTACATCCCATTTCAAGTTATTATCTCGGTTCAATTCTTGCGAATTGAATCAACATATTGTTATTTATTGATTTGGATTCCGCTTCTTAGTCATTATTTTACAGTTTTATTTATACAGTCTGTTTATATTTTCGCAATGTTTTTAAACACCGATATGATCTAAGGTGCACTTTGAGTTGATTGAAAATAAACTTAAATTTTAATCGGGGGACGTGAAATCTGTAGACGGATCGAAACTCTGGGGAATTTCATTGGTATTCCTGAGTATTTTTATGAATATGTGTAATCATGGTTTTCCAAGGCAAGAGCAAATAGTCTTTATCCGAGTTTGAGTGCTCTCAACCTTAGACTATAATATCACTACTTAAGCACATCGCGATCATGGACAAAACACTCAAGTGATTTTATAATCTTGAGGTATTTGATGGCGCAAGTGGTTAGTGCATTTGGTCTGTCACCAACCCGCACTGAGGCCCAAGCACGAATTTTTACAGCTCCGTAATTGTATTGCATCGATAAAGTTTCTATGAAAACTCAGCAGCGCCCCTACCGGACGTAAAAACCAACTGGCTCCTTCCATACAAAATATGAGAATGACGATATGATTACGGAGCTGTCAAAATTCGCTTTGTTCTCGCGTTGGTCATGGCCTTATCTCCCTAAACCATCCTTAAAGAAGGTCTATGCACCAGCAGTGTGGATTAATATAATGATTATGATGTGATTTTTAAAATCAACTATCTCTTATTGTTGACCAGGTCGTTTGAATGTCCTGGCGAATGTATGCCGCAAGCCCCTCCATCAGCTGTTCACACAATTTGCTGGCTTGGAAGCCGAAGATGATGTAAGTAAACATTGTTATCAGCAAAGATAACCTTATACGTGCCTACATATATCATTATGATATGGCAAATCGAATGAAGTATGATAACACGGAAACAGTTATAATATACCTATCTAGATTATTGTATATGTGTGCAATGAAATGGAATATTAATTTGTTCAAATCGCCATTTCTTTAAGCTCTTTTAATTTTCTAATATTATTTAATGTATATTATATCATCACATCACATCCCTTATGGGGTTTGGTTAAGCGGTAAATGTATATTACCATTTAAATTACATACATTATTTTATTTAGTATGAATGCTATTCACCCATTTGGTAATGGGTGTGTCTGAGTTATCGCTCGATAACAATAGTGTCGACGTTACACCAATCTGAATATTTTTTTTCACAACAAAAGCGCAATTTTTAAACGAAGAGTTACGTTTTTAGGTGAATTAATAAAGAAAATTATCTTAATATATTTCCAACATTAATTTCTTCATCTTCTATATTTGACTTTGTAATGATTTTATTTAGCATAGGTGTGAAACTCATCATGTACTGTGGAAATATATTTTAAACTCGTAACTATGGAATACTGTGAAATGAATGTAGCGTTGATAATGAGTTCCCATTTAGTGCGTAAAAATACACATGTTGACGTATTTTCTACGTAAAGATATTATGTAAGTCGAATTCGTCGAATAGCAAACCGCGCTTTGTCTCGTTGCTGCTTATTAACTTGAATAGATGTTTTTCATAGGCACGTTTTTTTTTGTTTATCTGTTCAGTTATTCTCTTTTAAATGGAATAAATATTTTTTGTTTAATTAATAATAAGTAACAAATACACGACTTTTGAAACTACATAGAATAACAGCAGCGGGTGCTATTGTCGTGTTTTTTTATGCAATTACTAGATACTAGCGTCGTACCTCGATTTTACACAACTATAATAGATTTTAACTCGATAAAATATCAAAACTTTATTTTACTAAGTAATAATGTAGCTATTTATTGGTGAAAGATTTTCAAAATACACTCGACTGCAAATAAACTGGGTCACTTGCTATCACGGAACTCTGATTTCATTTTCTCAAAAAGTATAAAACTTACCACTATCAAAATTATAACTACAGAAAGTGTAGAATTTATTGAGATTAATCAATTAATTTAATTTTTATTTAAAAAAAGCTAAGGAAGAATCGTTTTCCAATTGTGGTATTCGGAAGTAACGAATGAAGCAAAAATACTCACGTCTAAAAACTATGGAGAAAAACTAAGAAATGATAAGAAGTATCAGACTATCTTCATTTTATAAAAAAGAACGATAATCGCGACTTTATTCATTGTTACCATTGCTGTTCTTGCTCGATTACAAAGTAAGTTGACAGTACTTCAGAATAAATTTTTACTCATATTATTAACTATGAAACACACTCTCTGTAGATATAGCTTTAATAGTTGTAAGTTTTATACTTTTTGAAAAAATCGAATTAAGAGTTCCAAGGTACGAGCGGATGGTCCAGTTTATTTTTAGTCGAGTTTATGTTCATTATTTCCAGAGATACTTAAAAAAGAACTTAATCTTATAAACCTTTTTATCTCAGTAGTACAGAATGGCAGTAAAAAAGTTCCTTACACCAATATTTCACCAGGGTTCCGGTGATGTCAAATACCACTTGGGCACATACATCGAACGTTTGAATCGCGTCACGAACAAAAACATTCGTCTCGCCGTCTGCGCCAACCCATCTCACTTGGAGGCAGTCGACCCCGTAGTACAGGGCAAGACTAGAGCAGAACAGTTCTACAGGGGCGACAATGAAGGGAAGAAGGTAAGAAGCTTGCGGATAAAAGAAAGGAAGGCGGTCATTAAAGGTCAATGACTCCTTTGTATAGGAGAGCACTTGAGCCAAACTCTTCTGCAGGGGCAATTATCAAGAATAGACTAGAGTCGAATAGTTCAGAAAGTAAGAAGGCGAATATTTGTTTGCCAGTTGGCTGCAATAAAAGGTCGTCGACTCCGTAGTTCAGGGTAAGACTAAGCCGAACAGTTCTATGGGCGCGACAAAAAAGGCAAAAAGGTGATCGTTTAAAAATAAATTCTAAGACACTAATAGGGATGATGACGGGGTTAAGTAAACGAATTTCCATTTAGGCCGTCAGTTAGATAATCAAAAAATAATGGAAACTTATTTCTTCTTTAGACAATCAACCAAAAATATTACGAATATGCATATACGGCCAGCGTATTGACGTCATTATGAAACAAAATAGTATTCAGTGCCAACTTATGGGTAGGTGGGACATACATTATGAATCGTTAGCGTGACGCCATGAAGCCACACCTCAATTAGTTTCTGATATTATTAAATCAAAAAAATATACAATAATATCTTCAGTATACTTTTTTAATATAAATAATATCAAAAGTAAATAAATAGGGATGAGTAGCTTGATGGCGCAGTGGCTCGTGCGTGCGATCAGAAATTGTGGAAGTCGATCAATTTAACGATGGTGGTAATAATCTCATGACTAACATAAGATGGGTACAATGACGTATAAATACAAGTATACTCCCAATGGCCTAGCAAAAGTGCTCCAAAAAACGTCTAAGCGGCGTTCTACATTAACGTATACAGATAACATTAATACGTTTGTTCAAATTAACACGTTTTGTCGTGGCAGGAAGGTTCAATGTCAATTGTATACGAGCGAGAATTACGCACAATAGACCAATGTGCATAATTTTGCTTCCGACACTTTGAGCGCGATTGTGAGTCTATTTGTTTTTAACTTCAGATATTTAGTGTTTCTGGAGGTACGTAAAGCCGTTGGTCCCGGCTGCATCTGCAGTCGTTGGCACCGTTGGTTGGTTGGTTAGATGGGTATCTACCTGTACTCTGTTAACAGTATCAGTGTAATTCGAAAATGCCGACGCAAGTTGTAAGTCATATTACACAATGTATAAACGCTTATGTATCGTGTCCTGCGTTTTGAATAATTGTTTTATTAAGATGAGACCATTGTTGTTGGGTTTACATTTATGTAGTTATACATTTAAGTATAAAGTTATCCTAGGTTAAGTGAAAATGTAAACTTGCTTGAGGTCCTTACAAATTAATAAAAAAATCATTCTTTCACCCTCCCACGTTACTGAGGATAGCATGTACGAGAGGGACAGAATATCTTACGTCGGCATTTGCGATTCCTTTCTTTAACGACATGAGTTATACGGTTATCTATCACGGCAAAAAACAGTCATTTTCTCAGTAGATTTCCTAGGTGTGGTCTCTTGATCCAAGATACTAAATAAATGTAGTTAGGTAAATGTTACAACTTAAAATGATCTGTCTTTTCGCAATCCCCCTCTAAGGTAAAATTGAGATAACTAATCTCTTCCAAAACTATGAATTGCTAGTGATAGAAGACTTGTTTTATAATTAGTCTACTTATTTTAGTTAGTGTTGTATTAAACATCTGATGCTTCAATAAACTTCAGAACAATAATATTTTGCATATAAATACCAGCATTTGTATCTAATATATTTCTATAAAAAGAATACTTATCTATGTATTATTATAATGGATTTCTGTCTATTATCCTAGTAAAAGTCATTTTGACTTTATTCAAATTGTAAGTATAAAACAAACTATTTTGGATTTGCCCATCTTTTTCGCCTGAGCCATACAAATTAACTTCCGCGCAACCGCCATCCGCCTGCGTTGTGGCACTTATTTTGTTGTTGATCTAAGTATCCAATAACACAATCCATACAGGCAAATTGGTTTGTTAGAAAAATAGAAAAATTAGTTTGATCGATTTATTTATATTGCATTTTCTTCCCAGGTGATGTCTATCCTTCTGCACGGCGACGCCGCTTTCGCCGGCCAAGGCGTAGTGTTCGAGACTATGCATCTGTCAGATTTGCCGGCTTACACCACGCACGGAACAATCCACATCGTGGTCAACAACCAGATCGGATTCACCACCGATCCTAGGCATTCGCGCTCGAGTGCTTACTGCACAGGTGATTTTGACCCTTATCTTTATTGTGTTTAGAGTTTCTTATTGTGTAACGGTAATAGAACCTCATCGAATTCAACACCGGTTTTGGTCTTTCGGGCTTCTTTGCTTACTGCACATGTGATTTTGACCTTATGGGGTCATCCATAAAGTACGTTACACGTTAAGGGGAACGGAGGGGTCGACTAACTGTGACATCGGGGGGAAGGGGAGGGGGGGGGGAGTCCTAAGTTTCGTGACGTTACATTTCAAAATTTAATACTTATGAAAAAACTAAAATATGTAGAACTCTATGTTTAAACGAAGAAAGTAATTTTTGTTTTTTCTGCCACAGACACCAAGACAGCCCATTGATAACTCTCTAAAATAAAGGTATTAGATTACTACCCGAAAGTTTTGCTTTACAATTGGGCAGGGAACGCATAGTTAGCTGGATGTTAAGCTGAGGCAGGGTCCTGATTGGCTTTTTTTCCCTCCATATTGTTTTTTTCTGTTTGTAATTGATTTGTTATTGCAATATTTATTGTTTTTGTAACCACGTATGTGTAAGGCCAAAAAAGCTTTTTCTTTCTTCCTTATTCTCAATAACTATGGTGTCGCCTTCACCTAGCAAAACGTTAAGATTATGATGAGAAATAAAGGTTTACATTAAGAAATATCGTTTTAATCCCTTCGGACGTGGAACGCTCAGTCCATGCTCCATATCCATGATGTAACCTTCACCTAGCAAAATGTAAGGATTGTTGTGAGAAATAAAGGTTTACATTAAGAAATATCCTTTCAGACGTGGCTCGCGTAGTAAATGCTCCCATATTCCACGTGAACGGCGACAACCCCGAAGCGGTGATGCACGTTTGCAACGTAGCTGCTGAGTGGCGATCAACCTTCCACAAGGACGTTGTCATCGACATCGTCAGCTACCGCCGCAACGGCCACAACGAAGTCGACGAACCAATGTTCACCCAACCACTCATGTACCGGAAGATACGCAACACTAAACCTGGTAACTATAGTGGCTAACTTTAATCAAAGATAGTCCCATATTCAACTCCACCTTCCACAAGGACGTGGTCATCGACATCGTCAGCTACCGCCGCAATAGCCACAACGAAGTCGACGAACTGATGTTTACCCAACTACTCATGTACCGGAAGATACGCGACACTAAACCTGGTAACTATAGTGGCTAACTTTAATCAAAGATAGGCCCATATTCAACCCCACCTTCCACAAGGAAGTGGTTATCGACATCGTCAGCTACCGCCGCAATAGCCACAACGAAGTCGACGAACCGATGTTTACCCAACTACTCATGTACCGGAAGATAGGCAACCCTAAACCTGGTAACTATAGTAGCTAACTGTACTCAAAGATAGACCCATATTCAACTCCACCTTCTACAAGGACGAGGTCATCGACATCGTCAGCTATCGCCGCAACGGCCACAACGAAGTCGACGAACCAATGTTCACTCAACCATTCATGTATCGGAAGATACGTAACACGAAACCTGGTAATTATTTATTTATTATTTATACACATTAAGCATTAAACTGTTACATTTTTAAATATTAAGATTTAATTAGAAAAATAATTCTGATGACGCAGCCTGAAATGGATGCAAAACGTCAAAAAAGTTATAAAAAGACGCATTTAGTAACCGGTTAAGCTTGTTTTTTTTAATGAGTGGTGTGCTTGAAAACCTAAGAAACAAATAAGTAACTGTATAATACATAATACCTACTTTCGAAGATAAAGTTTTGCATAAAAAAAAGTTACAACTGATTTTCTCCTTGGTCCAAATTCTAGGGAGTTCACGCTTTGTTCCATTGACTCTTAGCAAGGAATTAGAAATGATATTGAAGCATTACTCTGTAACAAACGGCGGTAAAACATGGTTCCAAAGTCATACAGCTAAACTTCAGTACTAACGCGACACGAACACAGACAAAACAAAATAATTTGACAAATCAAATATCTGCAAATTAATTCCGCTATTCATTTATTTCCATTTATCCATTCATTCAAAATGGTTACAAAAGATGAAATCCTGCGACGTGTTGGCAAAAAACGCGTACTTTCGAATATTATTAGAGTGAGGAAGGTTGACTTATAACTAATAATGATGGTCAAAGTTGCTGGAAAATAAGGCATCGGTCGTAGGAAGAAGTCTTGGACGAGAAACCTACGATAATGGACTGGAATCTCGAGCGCCGCAAAAATTATTGCATCTCGCTAAAGATAAGGAGATGCACCAGAAGATGAAGATCTATTCATTGAGTAAGATAATGTTAAACGGAAATCCCAATCAGTCCCATGATCGGCGTGTCGATCGCATTTTCTTAACCCCGCCCACTTGATCGCAGTTTGCGTGGAACCACTTTTTATCGCAGATGGTATTCCATGTAATTTCAAATTTATTGCTCTTAAGATAATAAATATATCGAAAGCAAAAAGATACATTTCGTTTTAAAAAAATTAATTGTTAGGAAATGCAAAAATACCCTGTAAAAAATATGAAATCTTAATTTCCCGTCAATAGTTTTGGAGAAATACGCCGATCAATTGATCTCCGAGGGCGTCGTAACAGCTGAAGAGGTGAAAGACGTTAGAGATAAATACGAGAAAATCTGCGAGGACGCGTACAACCAAGCCAAGCAAGAGACCCACATCAAGTACAAGGACTGGCTCGACTCGCCCTGGTCCGGCTTCTTCGAAGGAAAGGACCCCTTGAAGGTAAGACTCGGCATCATCAATTTTAGGCACGGTAAAACTAGTTTATAGGATTTCAGGACCATATCAAAATATTCATTAAAACGTTTTAGGTATATTTACAGGAGAATAGTGGCCTGCGCAGACGAAGGACGAGGGATTTTTGTCCTCCGCGGACAAAAGTTTCTCGTCGTGAAAAAATGTCCGTTGAGGACTTGTCAAGGACTTAACGCACACGACCATTTGGTGCCCGAAACTTTAGAGAAGCGTCTGCTATTGAATATTTTCAGATTATTTTGTGTAGTAATTAACACGAACTTTAATAAAAAGAGAAGACGTTATAAAAGCGAATACTGACTCCATCTTTTAATCGGATCGAGGGTGTCTAAAGTTTGCTGTGTGCGTTGCTGCGCTTAGTCACATGAGTTCTCGTCTGCGCAGGCTTTAAGTGATTATGTAGAACAAAACTGAAGATCAATATGTAACTCTTAAGGAAAACAATAAAGATTTTTGTCCTCATCATTAGCATTGCAATGTCCCTATTGCTACTCTGGCAATTGTGTATTGTACAACGGGATATTTATCATACCACTCGTTCTGATTTAATCAATCAAACATGATTTCTTTAATATATTTCGGGTGTTATGGATTAAGTGGTTTGGTGTTATCCACAATAATTAGTGAGACTATGTAAGTCCTGATTTCACTGGATTGTAAAATAATGAATGGATATTGACGATTATGTCGTCTAATCTGTATTAATCAATTTAATCTTCTTATATCACAATAAATTACTGAACATATGGCTTTAACGTTTTGCGTAAATTGCCATGGAAATAGGTATTCATTTTGAAGTCAATTATTGGTAATGTTAAATATTTAGCTTCCCACCATTCTAGCAGAACTTATAGATTGACTAGTAGAGAATTAATTGGAACCGAGTAGAATTATCACGATTTACTTACGTAAGAGACGATACACAATTTAAAATAAGTTATAGACAGCTTGTATATTGAAACTGTTTTTTTATACTTATGTGCTTATGTGTATGAATTTTGATTAACCTCAGCCTATTCGCATATCTACAGTAATAAATGTTGATGAATTGGTTTAAAGTATATTCCGCATCCACCAATCCATACTCTATCCTCCTATTCTATCTATAGTGCCCCAGTAATGGGGAGATTAATAGGCTGATGAGTGATGATAATTAATAAAATTCTTACCAAATATAATTTGTTCAGATGTCCACAACTGGTGTGGTGGAAGAAACTCTAGTCCACATAGGCAAGCGTTTCTCTTCCCCTCCTCCCAACGCCGCCGAGTTCGAGATCCACAAAGGCCTTCTGCGTATCCTCAAGTCGCGTATGGAAATGGTCGAGAACCGAACCGTGGACTGGGCCTTGGGTGAAGCGATGGCTTTCGGCTCGCTGCTGAAGGAAGGCATCCACGTGCGCTTATCCGGCGAGGATGTTGAAAGAGGCACCTTCTCTCACAGGTAATACGAACGTTTATTGCTTGATTCGAGTTACATTGCTATATTATTGCGCATATTGTTTTATCATTGCGCATATTGTTTAATTATTGCGCATATTGTTTTATTTTTGCGCATATTGTTTAATTATTGCGCATATTGTTTTATTTTTGCGCATATTGTTTAATTATTGTGCATGTACTCTAGCACGGAATGACCAAATAATTTTCGGGGGGCCTACCACCTATCGGGATTGCCATGGTATTGCATAGCTTATGATTTCATTTTGTTATTTCTGATCGCCGAAGGTTTTCGAATGCCTAGCGGTCTTTTTTTCTTTTGCATTGGTAATAACAATAATATAGAAAATGTGCGTGAGGTATTTGAAAACCTTCGGCGGTCAAAAATAACAAAATGAAATCATAAGCTATAGCTATATCAATCCCAATAGGCGGTAGGAGGCCGTGTAGTTAGATCCTTGTAAGACTTTGTTAGCTAGTGATATCACTAATTATTTAGAATGCTATTAGTTTACATTATCTAAGGTTATTTTTATACTTTACTATATAAAAGTTAGTTGAATCCAGTCCAGCCAGAGGCTGTGTTTATAAACTCTTAACACCAGGCTAGTTGTAATGTTAGAGTGATACAAAACACCCACACTAGAGAAGGATCCCATCCCAACCGCTGTTTTCGCTTGGCGTTAAGAATTCATAATGCAACGACAAATATCTGAACCGAGTTTGTTTCCCTAGTATTTTTTTCTTTATTTTTAAAATTGCACATTAATGCTTAAATAAAATACTGTTATTAAGAATTTGTGATCATATAACAGGCATCACGTGCTCCATCATCAGAAGGTTGACAAGGCCACATATTGCCCTCTGGGCCACCTGTACCCGGATCAGGCGCCTTATACCGTCTGCAACAGTTCACTATCGGAATATGGTAAATTACAATTTTATATTTTGACTTTTTTTATTATCATTAGCCTATTAATGCCCCCACTGCTGGGGCACAGGCCTTCCCTATGGATGGAATAGGGATATAGGGCCATGACCCACCACGTCGTTAGCACCCGCCAATCCGCACTGGGATTGGCGGGTGCTAACGACTGCAGATGCAGCCGGGGCCAACGGCAATTTCCGAAGCACGGAGAAACTCGAGATAGATTTTTGGTCACCCATCCAATGACCGACCACTGCGAAAGTTGCTTAAAATAACCGACCACTGCGAAAGTTCGATCACAGCCGAACGCGCTACCACTTGCGCCATCGAGCTCCTCCACTTATGACTTACAAAAACTATCAACTACCATGTAAAATTTCCACCCAATATACATGTATTGCTAACGTCTATGTACCAACAAAGGTTCACGGGGCATAATCTATCTTTTACGTATCTCTCTAGTGTTTTAAAGAATCCGACATCTGTTTTAAATTATTAAAGTTTAGCTTATTCTCATTTCTGTAAGTAAAATTTATGTATCAACAAAGGTTCACGGGGCATAATCTATCTTTTACGTATCTCTCTAGTGTTTTAAAGAATTCGATATCTGTTTTATGTTATTAAAGTTTAGCTTATTCTCATTTCTGTAAGTAAAATTGGACAGTGCTGCTAATAATAATGAATACTTTTACAAGTATTAAACATTTGAAAGAAGAAATAGCAATTATAGTTATAATTTTTATTATTATTTTTAAAGCTCAGGTCAGTGCATTCGCCCGGATTGCGAAGGGTGCGGGTTCGAGTCCCGTCTGCTGCCTGGTCTGCGTGGAATTTTTTCTAGTTATATTTTCTTTAGATTTAAATATTTTGTTGTTGTAGTATTTTCAAATAGCTAATGTATTTTCTCAACATGTGCATAATTCGAAATTTGTTGTTATAAAATTATTATTGAAGTGAGATTCTATGCTCTATTTACGGATCGTAAGTGTTTGGAGCGCTTACTTATCCACAAAATCGTTTACAAAGATGGAAAACTGCATAACCACAACAATACAATCTGGCTAATGATAGAAAAGCTATCTTTCTTCAGTACTAGCCTAAATATAAAATAACCTTAATAATATTATAATAATGGTCGATTTTCTCTTGTCAAAGGTGTGCTCGGCTTTGAAGTGGGCTACTCGGTCACCAATCCCAACGCCCTAGTGCTATGGGAGGCTCAATTCGGTGATTTCAACAACGTTGCCCAGTGCATTATCGATCAATTCATATCCAGCGGGCAGGCCAAGTGGGTGAGACAGTCTGGAATCGTGCTATTGCAACCCCACGGTATGGAGGGCATGGTAAGTGGCTAGATTCATATAAATAGAGATTAAGAGATTGCCCTTAATGGGGACGAAAACTGCTAAATCATCGCGCCAGAGGTGCAGGTGTCGAATGGCCCTTAACAACCATAAAGGTGTAAGAATAGAGAAGGGGAGATATAGACTACTACAAGTGGAGGTGTCCCTCTAATAGAAAGACAAAGAAGATGAGACCGCTAGCTTTCTCACTCTAATCGCGCATGCGCATTGGCAACCGTAAGCAAGCTTACTATTTCGATGTGATGCCATTGAATGCCATGCGTCACAAGAGAGAGAGATAGCTAGCGGTCACTCATCTTCTTTCTCTTTCTACTAGACGGACACTTTTAGAGCCGCCTTCCCCACTCTATTCTTATACCTCTATGTTAACAACACTTCGAGACAGCTGTTAAAGTTACAAGGAAAATCGACAAACCCCGATACATTTGGCCTGCGTACCAAACCTATGCTCCAGGTAGCCTTGAAGTGGCAGGTCGCTTATTAAAGGGCCAAACGGCTTAAGCGTCATATGTAATAAGCTTTGCTTTTTATTCCCCATTACTCCAAATAACAAAATGAATTAATCAATAATAATTATGTTAATGTTATTATTATAATATGGCTACAAGCGTAAGAAGTGTCTTAGGCAAGAGCATATCAGGTTAGAGGTTGACAAATTTTCATAATAAATTTCGGACTCTTGTGTTTCACATAATGGATATCTATAATAACGATTTTATATTAAATATGGCAACTTTGTCCTCAGGGGCCCGAGCACTCTTCAGCCCGTCTCGAGAGATTTTTGCAAATGAGCTCTGATGATCCCGACTACATGCCGCCAGAGAGCCCCGATTATGAAGGTTGGTTTCCATTATTATGTAAGTCACTTATTAGTGGGCCTGACAGATTTGTCCTGCCCGATAATAATATTTAATAAAATAACCCAAAATTTATTTGAAGCGTCACATATAAGCTAGATTTGTTTGTAATTTAGATTTTATGAATTTTTACACTTCTTTTTTATATATTTCCGTAGGGACCTTTAACGAAGTGTTAGAAAACAAATAAAAGGTGGACGAAATCGGTAATGCCAGTCTCAAAATAACAGCGTTAACGATGTTAACGCTGTTATTTTGAGACTGGCATTACCGATTTCGTCCACCTTTTATTGAAAGATTTGACTGTAGTTAATGACACGTCATATATATATAGTAAATGTCAAATTTTGACATATGTTTTTTTTTCTATCGGATTTAACTATGGATGCAACGATATTAAATACCCTAGATACACCACGTGCGCTCAAAATGTGTCCCATTGAAGAAGTGCTTGAACACCACTTAAGCACTTCTTGGTTCACATTCACCCGCGGACAGTTGAAAAGTCAAGATGCCGCAGAGCTCCGTGAAAAAATGCGAAATAAATACTTTAAGTACATAAAGTGACGTTATTTCGATATGTATCTAAAAATGTTTGTTAAAAACGCATTTGAAGCAAATATTGTTCTAATACTAACTATAAACTGATTTAATAGAAAATATTTGTGATATTCAAATGCATGGTCGGTAATATAGCTGTCTTTTTTCATCGCGGTCCGTACCTGCTATATTACTAGAGCATTCAGAATTGCGCGTAGAGTCATAGAAATAAGGCCTATCTTCTTCCGCATATAGCAATAAGTCTTAAAATTTTACGAGCTTGCATTTCGAACTGTCATAACTCTGACGCATGTGTTTTAATTAACACCTTATACTGTATGCATTAAAGGTGCCTTTCAATGTTTAAATAATGCCTTAAATTGCTTTTGACTACGCGATAATTTACCTTTTGGACAGGTTTCGGCCGCGATTTTGTATGTGATACTGTACCTAGGGTATTTTATATCGTTGTATGGATGAAACAATGCGGCCTAAGACAAATAGGGCTTTATTTTTATATATAAAGACTAACTTTATTATGTTTTAACATCTAGTTCGCCAACTGATCGACTGCAACTGGATTGTGGCCAACTGTTCGACGCCCGCTTCATACTTCCACATCTTAAGGCGTCAAATCGCATTACCGTTCCGCAAACCCCTTATATTGATGACACCCAAATCTCTACTACGCCACCCCGAGGCCAAATCATCCTTCGACGATATGAACGAAGGCACTTGCTTCAGGAGGTGAGTTTGCTTGTAAATAGATAAATATTTCATATGAGTGCACCAAGTAGCATAATCCCAAAGTTATCACTATAAACCTTGACTTTCGGGATCCTAAGGTAAGCGATAGATTTAAAAGTCGCGGACCATTTTTGCGTCCCAGAATTAAAAGAACTATACTGCTCGTCACTGTTTTGAACCGGAAAAACGAGACTCAAAACTGCATTATAAATTAGTTTTAATTATAGTAATATTAAGAGGAAATGGCATTAAAATATGCTATTAAATCAGTCTTTATAAAAAAATGCAAATTATGAAGTCTGTAAATGAATGAGATGAATTATCGAAAAGGTAAGACCGCTACTTTTAGTCGATATTAGAGTATATATATCTCATTTCTTTTTGCATATATTTTGATACAATGTTATATTCCAGAGTTATTCCCGAGGGAGGCGCGGCCGCGAACAATCCCGGCAACGTCAGAAAACTAGTCTTCTGCTCAGGACGCGTCTACTACGACCTGTTGAAACATAGGCGCGACCGCGGTCTCGATGCGGATATCGCTATTGCTAGGTAACTATAAAACATCATCATCATTATCATCATCATCATTATTAACGTGTGAAAACTAGTCTTCTGCTCGGGACGCGTCTACTACGACCTGTTGAAACATAGGCGCGACCGCGGTCTCGATGCGGATATCGCTATTGCTAGGTAACTAAACTATCATTATCATCATCATTTTCAACGTGTGAAAACTAGTCGTCTGCTCGGGACGCGTCTACGACGACCTGTTGAAACAGGCGCGTCCGCGGTCTCGATGCGGATATCGCTATTGCTAGGTAACTATAAATCATCATCATCATCATTTTCAACGTGTGGAAACTAGTCGTCTGCTCGGGACGCGTCTACTACGACCTGTTGAAACATAGTTGCGACCTCGGTCTCGATGCGGATAACGCTATTGTCAGGTAACTAAATCATCATTATCATCATTATCAACCTGTGAAAACTAGTTTTCTGCTCGGGACGCGTCTCCTACGACCTGTTAAAACAGGCGTGACCGTGGTCTCGATGCGGATATCGCTATTGCTAGGTTACTATAAATCATCATTATCAACGTGTGAAAACTAGCCGTCTGCTCGGGACGCGTTTACTACGACCTGTTGAAACAGGCGGGACCGCGGTCTTGATGCGGATATCGCTATTGCTAGGTAACTATAAATCATCATTATCATCATCATCATCGTTTTCAACGTGTGAAAAGTAGTCGTCTGCTCGAGACGCGTCTACTACCACCTGTTGAAACCGGCGTGACCGCGGTCTCGATGCGGATATCGCTATTGCTAGGTAACTATAAATAATCATCATCATTATCATCATCATCAATGTGTGAAAACAGGCGCGACCGCGGTCTCGATGCGGATATCACTATTGCTAGGTAACTATGAATCATCATCATTATCATCATCATCAACGTGTGAAAACAGGCGCAACCGCGGTCTCGTGCGGATATCGCTATTGCTTGGTAAATATAAATCATCATCATCATTATCATCCTCATCAACGTGCAGAAACGTGTAGGTAAACGTGTACGTGTAAACAAACGTAGGCGTGTATTCCCTAAGCGGGAATTTTTGGATTTACTCTAGCGCGGTACTCCCACCATACCTGAGCCTCAACGATAAAAAAATTCAACGATCGGCCATGCCTTTTGGTCGCGTCCAAATCGTCAGTCTTTTGAATAGGAGCTCCTGCAAGGCTCGGTTCCTTTTTCACACATTCTTGTCGTACGTGATTATAACATCACTTTGCATCACCAGTTATCAGTTTCTTTAAAAATGATTCGGTTGCATTATGTCGTAATAAAGAATCACAAATGAGTACACCGTTCATTAGGTCCCGTGAGGTACCCAAATATCGAGCTTTTTGTGTCCCCAATTTTTTTCAAATGCGCCTTAACTGTTTTGTGGTAAATTTCCAGTTCTTCAGCTACTTCGTAACTACTGATATGCCGATCTTGCTCCACTTTTTCAAAAATGCCATCCATTTTATCCGTAACAGGGTGAAAAGAGCGACGTGCATCTTTGACATCAAAATTTTCGAATTGAAAACGCTTAATTAATTTAAACTTTTATTTGTAACAGTCTCACAGACACTGCACTAGGTCCATAAACATCACAATTTTTTTTTCGTGGCATGCGTTGAATTTTTACCTTTTTTGTAGTAAAAACTTAAATTTAATCGAATTTCTTCATTAGATTCACTCATCTGGACAGTAAGAAGAACAAATGAAAATCACACAATTTTCTAATTTGAATTTGGAATTATCTTCTTTAAAATTTAAACTTTTTAATGATATTAATACAAGCCAGATACAAATAGGATAGCCAAAAAGATTTTATTACAAGGTTATACATACTATAATGCGAAAAGACTTTTCCCCCAACCTATTGCTTATTTGTTATTGGTATTTCAATTACTTGCTTAATATTTAATTTGTAATTAGTATTTCAAAAAGCTGTCGCCGAGGTATTTTGTAGTTAGTATTTGAAATACTTATGGCTTCAAAATACATTTAACATAAATACATTTATTTAACCTTCATTTACACACCACTCATTAATAAAACAAAACTTCAATTGCGCTACTTTATTTGTTTCTTGACGTTTCGCATCCTTTCCAGGCTTCGTCGTCAGAATTGTTTTTATTTATTTAGCGATCTTATTAATGGGTGATTTCTAAAACTATGTCGATCTTTAGAGTTGGCATCACTGCAGCTGTTACTGGCCACCAAACTCTGGTTTTACTGATTAATCGTCTTTAACTCGTGACCCACCACGCGGGCCCAGTGCGAATTGGTTGCCGAACAGCCGGGAGCAATGGCTTAATGTGCCTCCTGAAACACGGCGGAGTAAGTTTTTGGTCACCCATCCAATGTACGACCATTGCGAAAGTTGCTTAACTACAACGAGCGCAGCCGAAAGCGCTCACCACATGCGACAACGAGTTCCTACAAATATGAGTATATATCTTATTAATTTATTATGTAGAAATAGGAGGCAGATAGCGTCAATGATTAGTGCGTTAGGTCTTCGTGAAGTTAAGCAACTTTCGCAATGGCCGGTTGTGGGATGGGCAACCAAAATTGTATTACATCGATTTCCCTCTGTACTTTGGAAGACATGTTAAACCACTGGCCACGGCAGCATCTGTAGTCGTTAGCGTTAGCAATGCTGGAATTAGTGACAATACCAACATTAGGCTTGCTTGGTGGGTCACGGCCCAATCTCCCTATTCCATCTTAAGGGATGGTCTGTGCCCAAGCATTAGGGATTAATAGGCTGTTGATAATATATATTTAAATACCTACTTGTATTATAAATCCATCCAATCCATCCATCGATTTATCAGGAGGAGCCTTAACTTACTTTTGAACCAGATCTTTTTCTTTCAGCCCCGGCATATGATATGGTTAAGCTTTTTATCGACGCTCAACTGTCAAACTCCATTGTAGTTTGACAGTTGTCAATGTCGACAAATCGCTGAAAATGACATTTGAGTGATATGAACAGAACACGTAACTAGTCTTAGCTTTTTCTAGTTTATAAATAAGGGGGTTAGAGTTTATTTTTGATACATTTTAATTAAACTGTTATTTATGGGTTTCTTTAATTTATGAATTAATGATGAACGAATAAAGCGTTATTTTCGAAATCTTTGTATTTTTATCTATATTTTTTTTATGTGTCTCAGATAAATGAATGGGCCGAAATGTGTGAAAAATCCTTTATTAAAAAATTACAAGTGGCAAACATCGCGATTGATTCACGAAATTCTCCTTCTAGATTGGAGCAGATCTCGCCGTTCCCCTACGACCAGATCAAGGCGGAGATTGCCAAGTATCCTAACGCCCAGCTTGTATGGAGTCAAGAGGAGCATAAGAACATGGGCTCGTGGAGCTACGTGGAGCCCCGGTTCCGTACCCTACTGCAAAACCAGAAGCAGATCTGGTAAGTCCAAAAAAAACAAAACTTAAATAATAATATACTTTATTTACATTACTTGCGATGGGCTCGTGAAGCTACGCGGACCTGATTCCGTACCTTACTCCAAAACCAAAGGCAGATCTGGTGAGTGACAATATCAATAATTTTAAATTTTAATGAAAATACTTTATTTCTATTTACTTGCGTCTGAAGCACTCTACTGCAAAACCAGAGTAGCTACGCGGACCTGATTCCGTACCTTACTCCAAAACCAAAGGCAGATCTGGTGAGTGACAATATCAATAATTTTAAATTTTAATGAAAATACTTTATTTCTATTTACTTGCGTCTGAAGCACTCTACTGCAAAACCAGAAGCATATTTGGTAAGTGAAAATATATGAAAAATAATAATAATATTAAAAGAACACTTAGAAGGAAAAGAACAAGGGCTCCTGGAGCTACTTGGATTCTCGATTCCGTATCCTACTGCAAAACCAGAAGCAGATCCAGTGAGTGACAATTCTCAGAAATATAAATTTAATAAAAACACTTCGGAGCCAACGAAGCAAAACCAGAAGTAGCTAAGTGACTTTATAAAATAGTACATTATCAACGTGGGCGGAAACTACTTAAAAATCAGATTTGAGCGAGTCGGACTCGCCCACCGAGGACTCCGTACAAATTTAGCGTAACATAATGGCCGTATCATTTTTTAAAGTGTGAGCTTAAAGGGACCGTAGATCTAAGGATACAGTTTATATTTCTACGCGTTCTTGAGATTGCGTTGGGTAGTCTTAAACCTCACCATGTATCACCAAGGGGGAGGGGGGTTTAAAAACGCCAAAAAAACCTCACGTGATTAATGGACGGCCCCTTATGTAGAAGCACATGACTTGCTTGTTGGCAAGGGGCCGCAAATAGCCTATAAATAGGCGCTTGGAATACAAAGAACATTACTCTGTTGCATACTCTGACCCAATCCCCTACCCCATGGAGCCCTGGAACATTACTCACCGACAGAAACATAACATCCGCTGTACCCTGTCTCTTTTTCACATAAAGAAATATACACCCATCGAGAGATGGGAGTTTATGGTTATGGTGATATTATTATTAAAGTTTTATGTCTCTAGTCATTTAAATACGGTTTAATTTCGTTGAATTATTTTCGTTATTAGCAGCTGTAGTTTGTCTGTGTAGCGTGTTCAAAGTATTTTTTGTATGTTTGCGTGTGCATGTCTATGTATATTATGTTATTTGTCATTCTTATTTAAAACAATAATAATATTAACTTATTTTTAAGATACGGAGAGAAAATCTAATAAAATTTTAAAATCCAGAAATATGAATGCCTAACCTTATCCTCCATAATCGTGTCGCATCGTCAAAGTTTCTATGAAAACTAAACAACGCCCCTACCGGACGTAAGAACAAACTGGTTTGGCTTGGCCGCACAAAATTTGACGATGAAGATACTATTACGAGTCTGTCAAAGTTCATGATTGGGACTCTGATGGACTGACTTATTAACACTCAGCCTAAGTCATTGGATGTAGAGAGCTGATTTTAAATTCAGGTGTTGTCTATAAGACGTACCTTTAGGTTACTACGATTCTGTAAAATTAAATCCCACTTCCGATTTCGGTAGCTGCCATTTTAGACATTAGTTTGATATGCAAAACGCCATTACACCGTACACGGCAAAATGGCCCTATATCTATATTAGCGGTCAGTATTACATAATTGACATTATGTACTACATTAATACTAACCGCTGACAGAAATCCGAATAAATGAGATCGTAAGTGAGATTGCATCTTACAGAATACCTATGCCGGTCATGAAGGACTTTTACGTGTTCATATTTTTGTGGGTTTCACTTCTATCGCATGTGAACAGCACATGTCCGGTTCTTGAAGTGAAAACTTCCTGACGCAACAACACAACGACACAACGCCACTACGTTGTACAGTTTTTTTGTAATGGTTAAAAACTGTTAAACTCGCGTCAGGACACGTGGCCTGATCGCGTCAGTCCTGACGTCCTGATTAGGTCACGTAGCCACGTATTCACGTGACCTAATTGAAAATTCGTAAGACGAAAACAATAAAATTGGAAAGGTTGTTGACTTTCAATATATTGGACGCAACATAGTATTATTTTATTTTATCGTATTTTTATAATAAGTTAATGTAATATAAATTGTCATGTTTGTGTACGATAGCGCAATAAATATATATTGTATTCTACCACATAAATGATAGTACTTTTATACTGATAATTAAAGCAATTCGTGCAAAATTATACCCTAACTATTCCAAAATGTCAAAAATGCACAACATTGATATTCAAGTTTTCACTTCTGCCGGCACTCCCGGAGTGCAACGCATCGTTGTGTTTTCGATCGATTCATGTTAGCTATCTCTCTGTGAATAACTTCATGGTGCTAAAAGCGTAAGCGCTTTGTCTTTAAAACAAAATCCAGTTAATAGGATAAGCTCAATACGAGTGTTTAATATTATTTAACCTTTATAAAGTCGCATACGCCTTCTTAAATATTTGTTAGTCAATAAATATTTAAGGAAAATCACTACTTTACTCCGTCATGTGACGTTAATGATCATAAATACAAAAAAAAAACTTGTTTCTGTGAACAGAGAAAACTTTGTTTTCTTTACCAAAGGATTCGTTAAATTTGGCATAATTATACCTGTTGTCAACCTGATCGTATAATTTGCTAGTAGTAGGGAAGCCCAAGCAGGGATTTTAGGATTTACCCGAGCGCGGCAGGATAACATTAGGGGGGCAACGTTTTAAAGTACTCCCCCATACCAAGGAGGGCCACCTTGCATCTTTTAAAGAACCTTTTATATAGGGACGAACGTCTAGGGCAGCAATAATAAAAATTCAACAATCGGACATGAATTTTGGTCGCGTGTAAATCGGCAGTCTTTATATAGGGCTCAGATATGGTGGTAGTACTTCAAAGTGTGCAAGGTTGCTCCCTTTATGTTATGCTGCTGCGATCGAGTAAATTCCAAAATCCACGCTTGGGCCACCCTACTATAGATCATGAAATTGCATTATTATTACCTAAACTTTTGGAAAAATGAGCATGACACAAACATTAACCCTCGCTCCGCTGTAACATAACTGGCTTGGTTGCAGGCCAAAGTCCCAATCGCAAGGGGGTAGTTGGTTTAGTCAGCTGTTCGGCAGCGCCGAGCGCACCGCCCCGCAAACTGTCGATTCGGACTCTGGAACTGTTGCGCGCACCATTAGGTGAGACTAGCGTACCTTGTACTGCATAACGCCTTTTGTAGCTGTGACCAATCCCCTTAGCAATGTTTCTCTTTATTTTTAATGCTGAATATTACGTGCCAGTTTCTAAAAAATAATCTGAAATCCATTGCCATATGAGGCGAATTCCTTTATATTTATTTATTTTTTAATTTCAAGCATTTAACTGCTAGATGTTTAAATGTAAATTACTTTATATTTCCTAATAATTTATGTTTTCCTACTTTTTCATTAAATCCTTATGTATATAGTTATGCAGTGCACGTTGTGTAATGGTGCCATGGTATGCTTTATGTGTTAACACAGTCACTTTATGTTATTAGTCTCACCTTAATATTGTTTTATAATCTGCTTTTCTGCATTACTGTTTCTCCTTTTTGTGTCCTATGAATAAATCATCGTGTTTGTTTACAGTATTTTTCTCACCTTTGCTATATTGACTTATTGCCTGCTTTAAGCCGGGTACTCATAAGCGAGCTGTAATTGTAACCGTTGCATGCGCTGTAACCAAAAAGCATAGTGTGTACGTAGTTCGCTAAGCTGCTGCGAGCGGTACGCGTGCGGTTTGCAGCGGGCCGACGTTTACAACTGAGCTACAAGCGTACACACTAGAACCTCGTACTGTATCACGCATGTTACGGTTACAGCTCGCTAATGAGTACCCGGCTTTTCTGTGTATACCTTTCCTTTATCTATCGTATAAATACGTCATTTGTAAGACTGAAAATGCGTTCTTTATTGACTTAATTTATATATTTGTGGCGTCAATCTGATTTTGGAGTACTCAGACTTTTGGTCTTACAAACGATTACGAAATAGCTTTCAATTTACACGTTACTAGTTTGTTACGCTCTAACCATAGTCTCACCTTTTTAATATTATCAATAACTTGCTCCGATATCAACTTCGTACCTATGCGGTTATTGCTTAGATTCTAATTATGTGTATTACCTCACGGGTTGCTTTTCGCGTAATTTTGTGTTCTCATGCACGATTTTATTTAAACAACAATACGTACACTTACTATTTAGAGATTTCCTTGTTTAGGCCCACTTGAAGCAAATTTGCTAAATCTCGATTCAATTAAAACTAGATAGATCCCATAGAAAATGATAAAACATGATTGCCAATTTGACATCATTGTATGGGCTAAGTTTATTTTTAGTTAAGTTTTAGCTAAATTGCTGCAAGAGGATATAAGTCTAGTTTTAACAACAGTTCCTCATTCCAATTCTCGGATAAAACTTATCTGTTAAATAATTAATTATCTAATCAATAAGTAATGACGTTTTCAACAAATAATAGGGATGATGACTATTTTTTCTCTTTGTTTATCAGGTAGATTATCAAACAGTATTGGACACGTATTTTTTCTTTTTTCTCATAATATAAACATTGATTGCAGAGATATATTGATTTGAAAAGTCGCATGACGACACGTTTTGGTACAATTTTCACTTAAAAGTGACGTCACGAGCCCCTACTCCCAAACTTTGACGCGCTATAACTTTGTCATTTTTTGGTTGATTGTCCAAAGAAAAAATACGTGTCCAACTTTTTTTGATCATCTAACTGACGGACTAAATAGAATTTAGTTTACTGTACCCCGTCATCACCCCTATTATATCTACAGACTGATAACTTTTATCCAGGGATTGAAAAATCTGTCCTTGTTTGTTCTTAGAAGTGATAATAGAAAAATCACGCTAACAATACAATCAAATAAATAGGTTTTTCTAAGAACTTTGTTTCTGTAAATACTGTTAGTATTCTATTTCTCTTTTCACTAGGTAAAAACATTCCTGATAACCTCTCGATCTTGTGTCCACATCTGTAGTACACTGGCGAAGTTCAACTCGAGTCACCTGGCTCGGCAGCGAACTGGCTGGTCTTGATAACCTAACGTCTAGTATTTGATTAGGTCACGCGTATCTGTATTCTTTACTAGATTCGTAACGAAAGCTATATGGAAATTTGTAAATTATATGAAAGTAAACCATAGTGATCGAGACTCGTTTATTATTAACTTTATTTTTTACTAGCTGTGCCCCGCGTTGTTACCCGCGGTTTATTAAGGATATTTTCTCACAGTAAAATGTAGCCTATGTGTTAATCCAGAGTGTCAACTAACTCCATATAAAATTTTATTAAAATCGCTCCAGCCGTTTAGATGTGAAGAAGAAAAAAATATACACACTCACAAACTTTCGCCTTTATAATATTATTTTGTTGCCATAGTTTCAATAAGAATGGGCAGGCACTAATAGGTAGATAATGGTACGGAACCCTTCGTGCGCGAGTGTGATTCGTACTTGGCCATTTCTTGTACTTTGCACACAAGTAATAGGCGAAATTCATTCATTATTGTACATGATTTTGGGTTGGCATTTATATTGACTGGGTAAGAATTTATGTAAGAGATAAGTAGTAAATAAGAATTGAAAAATAAGCTCTTAGTATAGTAAGCCCTTTAGGGTTGGTATAACTTCAAAGATGACGGAAAAGACGGCCTGAGACAGACAATGTCCACGATGTTCCATGTCAACCACAGACACTGATGTAACCTAAATTTTAATGGCTACGACATCATTTATTTTTAAGTTTGATGTTAATGCTGTTTCGTTCTTTATGGTAGCCATAAAATGAAACAACATTTTAATTTGACTAGAATTAAATTACTTGAGGTGACAGAATGCCACGTAAGTTCATATCTACAGTGAAACAGTAAATGAGAAAGACATATGAATATAAATATTTAAGGTATGTCATTTTTTTATTTTCCGTTTGCAGCTACAACGGAAGGGCAACCGCCGCCTCGCCCGCTACAGGCTCCAAGGCCGCCCACAATAAGGAGTTGAGGAACCTCCTGGATGAATTCTGCGTCTTATAAAGGAACATCTAACTATTCTAAAAATTTTCTCCATTCTGGTTATGTATTCTTTCGGTTGCCACCACTTTCAAAGTTAATCCTAGTGAACTTTTGTAGATATACAAGCTTTTTGTTACTATTCCAAATGTAGGCAGTGTTGGTTACCTAAAATAGTAATAAAAAAGTGGCAGCCCTCACCGAAATTATACATGTAATTTAACCGACACTAATAATACTTTATCTCGAAACGAAATTTACCTTTGACAATTTTCAGTTTTCGAAAATTATCATTACTTACTTCAAAAAAATTTTTTTTTATTACTATTATGCATTATTATTTTTTTCGATGTAACTTTGATGTTTCTACGATACTGTCAGTATTTTGTTGTTATTCTCGTTAAAGATCTGAATCGTTAGTTTTGCATTTGTGCTATCGCGATAACGTCCATTGTAGTTGATCACTTCTTGAAAGCTTACTTAAAACAACTATATAATTGTTTATACTGGATATTCTTGGGTTTCCACCTTTGGATAAGCTAATTTAAGCTTTAGACGACCTCGTATCTATCGATTCAAATCTTTGATTCTCCTCACGATTAGTTAGATTACTAGTTAGATAAATTCTTATTTATTTATTGTAGTTTAGCCATAACACGTGATAAGATTCGGCGTTATTTATTAAATTAGTTAAAGCAATATAACATAGTCTCTTTAAGTTAACACATATTAATTGATTGCGAATGGACGTAACGAAGAACGCTCGCTATTTTTTTATATAATGTACAGTAAAGTTTATGTTATGAACATTTTATTTTCGTATATTGTTTAATTTTTTAAATGAATAACAAATATATTTTTGTCGTTGACAGGTTAAAGTTAATATGTTCCTTTTACTAGTCCGACATTATTGTAAATTGTTCGTAATTCGTAGGGCCTATAAATGGTCGCGAGGCGAGTTTCTTGTGATCAAATATTACATACACAATGTTCTATAATTTAATTTTTGAGCTAGTAACACTGTGACGGCATAATGCACCGCCTTCTATGTGTTTCCAGAATACTTAGTAGCGACTCGTTTAACGATATTGTCTATGAGATATTATTAGATAGATAGATAGTATAACATAATGCGTAGCACTAGTTTTGAGTAAAGTACACCCTATTTAATAGTAATGTAGTTTTATTTTGGGAACCTGCGGTCGTTATGTTTTGCAACCGGCTGACCCAGCACAGGCTGAAGTTAAAGTACTGCATAAAATGTGTGAAATTGAGACGTAACTTTGCATATTTTCTATCTTTTGCTATTAATAATTCTGTTAATATCTCATTTGTACAGTCTTAAGTATAACAGAATTTTCTAGATTTCTAAACCTTTTTATATTTTAAGGGTGGCAAAAATATTATGATCTATTTGAATGTTAGCGACCACCATAGAGGCTTACAACACACCATCATTCAGCCAGAAAGTAAATAGTAACAGCTTAGCAGTCCCACATTTACGACTGAGCGGTTGCATTCATACGTACGAGGAACTCGGGTATACTTACGACTACGTCTTAGTAGGTTTTATGGCCGAGATCAGCGTATACATAAATATACTTTGTGTGCGTGCGCCCGCTTTGCTCGTTTCTATAGAGCTTCGTTTCTGTGTATCAATTTATATTTCATTGCCTACCCTAAAAAGATCTTAAAATTAGTTCACATTCATTCAGCTGGTATCAATTTCATATAGTTCTGCTATACTTTAATTTACGGCATATTAGGTTTAGTTCGCACATAGTTACCGTCGTTGTGAACGACCATTGTAAGGAGTAACACCAACGCTTTGTATAAACCAGCGCGTACTATTGTTATCATTATTGTCATTACCTTATCTGTACGTAGTATTAACGAATCGAGAACCGATAGTTATGTCGTAAAATTTACTGTTGACGTTGAAGTCATGGTTATACCAAGAGTTTGTAAAGTTCATAGTTAGCCTGTAAATTTGATCGATGTATCTGAGTAATTTAGCTTTCTAACACTTTACGCATGTATTTAATGCACCGTTTATTATTTAAATATATATAAAAATTTGTATGTTTCATTTATTTTGGAGTCCGCTCAGGGCTGTTGGTGATCGGAATGTTTTGTTTGAATGCGATGCCTGTTTGGAAGGAATTACCTGAGCTCTTTTAACGCTGTTAGTTTAATTAAAATAAATAAATGAATATTATACCGATATTATTCTTTTATTAACCCTCAACGTCAGTCATAAAAACAAAATTGGCACATTGAAAATCTTGATTATAAATTATGTTCAATAATTTGAATATTTTACAATTACATTCAAATGGCAAGGCAAGTTAAATAAGTTTGAATATTTATGAAATAATGCATTATTCAACTATATAAATACTTTTTTTATTATAGTTGAATAATGCATTAAATTAAACCTTCTTGAAAACCTTTATCGACATTGGTACCTTGGTACCCATTTAATATCAAAATCAAAGCTATTAAGTGGGACAAAAGGCGCATGGAACGTTAAACCATTAGAACACGCATCTTATAATCAAACATTGACGATCAGATACCTCTGTTATTTTAATGGAAACTGCGCAAAATAGCTTCCGAGAGACGCTATCAAAGATGCTGCGGGAAGAAAGTCACGCACATACAAAACGTATCTCCTAATGAAAAGCGCAATAGATCAGGCGCCCTTGACGGGCCGCCGCCGCCGGGTCGCCGCATACTTGGAGCGCTTTCAAGATCCTTATCGGCCGCTAGTCTCATTTCAGCTCACAAAGCGTTCCGGCCGCCCTATTTATAAACCGCTTGGCTAGCGTCGAGCGTGGACCACACGAAAAGGTGCGAAGATTAAAGATCGTATCAGTCACAAGTGCGTTTTACACGTCACCGGAGACACTTCAAAGACGCGCTTCTGTAAACGCTTGCGTATTGTGCGCTATTCTTTTTCATTCGCTTTTTTAAACTAGGCCCTCGGAGGGGGCGGTGTTTACATACAATCTGTAGGCACTCCTGTATTTATCGTTGCGTGAATGTTTCGCTATTTCCATTTTACTGCGGATCTGAGATATAAGTAATTACCTACTATTTATTTAAAAAAAATGCAACACTTAGTTTAATTGTGTTTTCGCTCGGATAGTGTAGGACGACGGTTTGAAACCACAAGCCCTTACAACAACAATCGGTGTAGGTAGGTACATATCACACACCACGGTGGTCGTCCTAAAATATGGCGTGAAATTATGAGCATGTATAAATGTAGATACACGTTAATATTACAGTCGCCATCAGAGTTGTATTGTAGCAGACAAGGTGACCAAATTTTTCTGAAAAGTTTAAAATGACAATAAATTCGATACACTACAAGTTACCATTACTAGCTTGTCAATAATTTCTGTATACACAACTTACCAAAAATATCTGATCACTTGCAACGTCGAGTGTATTTGTTACCAGCAATCTGTATAATCCTTAGAGCATGTATAATCTGGCATTCTATTAAATACCTAGGCAATGAATAGAAAGCCTAAAACGTCAAGGCAATGTATGAAATACTAGCTGACTGATTCATTAGGATATTAAAACAAAATTAAATAAACAAATAAAAAACTTGAATAGTTTAGTGGGATGATAATATATTAAAGAATATTAAAATACAATAAATCTCTTTTATAGTTTTCTTATCACCAAACGTGTTCGATTATGTAATTGGTTTACATTTTGAGCATAATCACCACCGAGCTAAGGTTCAGTTTAAAAATAGTGCTTTGTATAGAGCCTCTTCTAAGAAGACACCTCTCTAGCCGCCTTATTCCAAAACGCGGATCAAAGTCAGTCTTAGTTTAAAACTAATGCTATCTGTTTTCTTGATAAAATCTTTTAAATTAGTATCTTTGCCGCTTGTATTTGGTAGGTACTTACCTAAACGTTTTTTACTAGCAATGCACAAACGAGCGTGGTATGTTTTATCAAATTGGTAAAGTTAGTTCGTTACATAATCGGATTTCATTTCCCGTTCGTTGCCAATATACATGAAAATATTGAATTCTGTAATAAATGCAACGGTAGAAAATCTAATGAATATATTTAAACATAGCACAAATATTGTGGATATGTTCGAGGGGCGACATATACTTTAAGATGTGATATCCAATGAAACTTTTCCAATGAAGATTTTGAATCGGCAACCCAACCGCATCTTAGCTTTGTCCTTATTCCAAAACGCGGATCAAAGTCGGTCTTAGTTTAAAACTAATGTTATCTGTTTTCTATTTATATGTATAAAACAAAAGTGACAGCAACAAGTTTAGGTCGTGTTAAACTCTAATAAGGAGGTGGAGTTTGAAAGTGAATCCGATAGTTGGTGGCTAGTGGCTTCGTCTGTTACACAATGAATATAAAATACCAACAACCAAGTAACTATATATAAGGTATTATTTACCGGGTTCGAATCCCTGTGGGGGCAGATGTTTGTGTGATGAATACGAGCATTTGTACTCCAGTCATGGATATTTAATATGTATTTCTATATGAATATACTTATATATGTACAGTATATGTATTCTATCCGCAGAGATGTACAAAATGGTTTTAAAAAAGCATTTAAATACAAAATGCAAAATACTTTTCAGATTTACTATTTCAAATGCAAAATACTAAATAGTTTTGCGTTTTGTATTTCAAATGCTAAATGCAAAATAGGTATTTTCAAAATACTTTTTCAAAATAAAATACCCCCTGACCAAATCACAGATATTTTTATTTATTATAGGTACATATTTACTTATCATACATGAGCAATAGACACACAATGCCGAGCCGAAAAACAAACGTCTAATAACATATTACACTTTTCTTATTAAAACTAATAACAACTTGAACTGGACTGGTATTGTTAAAAAGTGATAAAAATAAATATCATTGTTTATTTATTACGCTTTTTAACAATACCAGTTGTTCGAATACATCATCACTCATTTTTCTTCTGTGAGGTCTCATTATCATCCCACCATACGAAAAAAGTCTTTCTACTGGTGCTGAACTTGGTAAGGGTGTGTTGTATTTAAAAAATACTTTTTTTACTGTAGGATAAGCATTTAGCATCTCCAGACTTGTGCTCTCATCCTTTAAATATTGCAGGGTTTCCAGATCTATTGTAGTATTATTAGCACTACCACCCTCACTGGTTGCCGAGGAATCTGAATCCTGGAACATGTAATAAGACTCGCTTTTTTCTCTTTTTCTTTCCGATATCTGTGATAGGAGGCAGCTTTTTAAATTTTCATTT